AGGTCTCCTACCATTCTCATTTCCGATGTCAAACAGGAAGGTTGTGCTCGAATTTTTCAAAAGAAGCCTTGAGCTTCTGTTACCATCCGTCTTGGTTACCACTACCCCAAAGATTTGGGAGAGGATGACTATGGATACAGCTGAAGTTACGAAAGTCGAACAACAGAAAATGATTGATAAGGAGCTCAAGCTGGAAGCCTGTAAGAAGACGCTTGGTGATGATGTAACCAAAATTGAGGAGAGCGTCCGTGATAAGATTAGGGTTTAAGAGATCGTGCACGCCGGGTCCACGCTGGGGTGCTGGAGTGTGCTTGCAAGGAGTAGTAATGGGCAAAATTAACTCGGGGGACCTCCAAATCAAAATCCGCTTTGAGCAGTACACTTCTTAGGCTTCAAGGAAATTCTCATAAAATTTTCAAACCCAAACACCAAACTTCATTTTTTAGCATACATGCGTCGTCACCGTCTCCACACCGACTGGCGATCGCATTCAGGTTAGGATTTTTTTTATCGCCATGGGTCTTTGTCCATGGGCCTTGATTTATTTGGTTGGCCCAACTTTGGGCCAATGATGGATTTGGGTGTTGATTTATTTGGTTGGCCCAACGTGGAGAGGAAAAACGCAAAAAAGACATGGTGGAACAAATATTGGTCCTCACCTGAATAGACTGTTGTGTTTTCCATCTAACACAACACATGTATGCTCCATGGAGCGAGAATTAGTGTTTTCCAGTTAACACTAAATGTTTTCATGTAAATAAGCAACTCTCTAGAGTTTTTTTAAAAAAAATTAATAATATATAGGGTAAAGTGCAAAAAACCCCCCTTCAACTATTGGCCATGAAGCAGAAAACCCCCCTGATCTATTAATTTGACATATAACCCCCTTGAACTAACCAATTTGGTGCAATTAACCCCGTCCGAGGACAAGTCCGTTGAATTTGACCGTAAAGACGCACATGAGCGGTCACGTGACTATTCAAATTTTTTTAAATGACCATACAACCCTTTAAGCTAAGTGAATCAAATGACACATGTACCCTTATTATTGTCTAATCCGCGATAGTGCTTGAGCCGCAACCAAACAAGGCCTAAGTAAAGCCCAAACACAATATACAATCCAAAAAATGAAAAAAAAAAAAAAAAAAAAAAAATCCAAAATCGAGCAAGAAGGGTCGGCTGTGAAGAGCTCGTCTGCGATGGAGGGGTCGGCTGTGAAGAGGTCGTCCGGTGAGGGTTTGACCGGCGATGGAAGAAGAAGCTCGACTGTAAGATTGTGACGCGGCGCGGCTCGGCGGGATGGAACGGCTGTGAAGAGCTCGTCCACGATGGAAGGGTCGATTGTGAAGAGCTCGTCCGGTGAGGGTTGACCGGCGATGGAAGAAGAAGCTCGGTTGTGAGATTGTAACGCGGCGCGGCGCGGCTTGGCGGGATGGAACGGCAGTGGTCACCACTGCAGCAGATCGATTTATTGAGGACGATTTGGTAACCACCTGCAAATCAAGACCGGTGGTCGTGCTGTGCGTTCTTGGCTTTCAATTTGGGGTTTGGATTTGGTGTTCGTGGTGGTGGTTGTCTCGCAGTGTAGATCAAAACCCGCAGCCACTATCACCTCTTCGGCTTCAGCTTCTGCTTCACTGCCGCCGGAATAACTAGTGGCTCCATCGCCGAATGAACCCATTTTGTCGCATATTTGATTGACTAATTTTTCTTAATCGAGTGGAATCAATTACAGGACCTTTGTTTGCACCATCACAACAGAGATCGTGAGGAAAAGGCGAAACCGCTTGTTGGCTTTTCGAACGTCTTGAATGCTCCTGCCCAGAAGCCGTGTAGGACGACTGGGAGTTCCCGGCGGAGAGGTTGAATTGATTTTAGAACCCGGCAAGCACTGAATCACACCAGTCGTCGTTCTTGTCTCGCGACCACCATTGATGCCGTTGAAGCTTCGTGATTAAGGTGCTCGACCCATAGCGCATATACGACTCAGTTAATGAAATGGGTTGCCGTCGCCGGAGAAGCTGCATGGCACGGTTCAGCGTGGGTATGTCTGTCATTGATTGAAGCTCCCCTCCATGTCACCATGGTCATAAGGTTGCTTTTATAAGGGTAAAATTGTCTTTTACTATTTCCGTTTACACCAACTGGCCGGAGATGTCACATTGGGGATCAATTGCACCAAATTCAATAGTTCAAGGGGGCAAATTGTAGTTCAGGGATTAATTGCACATGGCCAATAGTTGAAGGGGTTTTTTTGCACTTTACCCTAATATATATATGTTTGTTTATGTTGTTGGTCTGGGAGTAAATTTTCCGTCCTGTTTATGATTTTTCATAACAAAATTGATTTAGGCTTCTATTCTTGAAGCTGTATTAGTCCATATAAGTTAAGCAAATTAGATCCACTTGATTTTAGCCACTAATTTCATGAGACGCCTTTGAACAAACACCAACATAAGGTTCTGAATCTCATGTAGTCTTTTTAAATTCCAGTCAAAAATATCAGAAATATTTGCCCATACTTGCCATGTAAATCACAAGCACAGTCACCACAGAAAAGATGATTGCATTTCTATAATACAAACAACATCTAGAAGCAGGATTAAACCCTTTCTTTGCAACCAAGAATGTGTAATAATAGCTTTCTGTAGCACTAATACTGAATGAGTAGACCATCTCGGTCTCGCCCCATTCCAACACAGCCTAGACCAACAAACTGGTTGAATTTTTTCTCTACAAACCTCCCAAACTAACTTGAAGCTAAAATTGTTCTTCCATCTGATATGATCCTCACCCCCATATATCTTTTGAGCATGAAAAACCTGCACTATCTCTTGAGTTGTGTTCATCAAAAGGTCATCATTCCAGTGACCATTAAGTATAAATTCACTCAAATAATTCTTCTTATTTCAAACAGGACCATGTCTCATATTATCCGGTTTGACAATTGTCAGTTACAAAATTTTTAATTTATTTTAGTATATTTCTCTCCCTTTTTAATAGTGTATATCAATGTTGATATAGGTGGAAGAATTTTATTCCATGTTTTTTTTTATGCATACAGATTTCGACCCGAATGTGATCTTCATTCAGAATTTTATTGTGATCTTTCTTAACCTCTACCTGATACCATATTTCCATGATATACGGATTTTTCTTTTCATATGGATTTCTTCACCTATATAACACATTAACTTCTTCTTTTTTTCCTATTTTTCAGATTGAATATTTAGCTAAAGGTTTAATTTTTACAATTCCTTTTAATTTTTATTCGTTTTTATGTTTATGTTTTTTTTTTAAGTTATTTCTCTGTTGCATATATGATTTTTGTATTTTGTGATTCGTTTTTTTTCCTATTTTTCAGATTGAATATTTAGCTAAAGGTTTAATTTTTACAATTCCTTTTAATTTTTATTCGTTTTTATGTTTATATTTTTTTTTAACTTCTTCATTTTTTTAAGTTGGTCTGGAGTTCAGCTGTCAAGCCTGTCAAGAAGAGAAAAAAGGCCCAAACAATAAGGTTCAGGGACTGCAGAAGTGATCAGTGCAAACTTCGCTATGCAAACCTTTTTTCTATTTTCAGGTTGGTTATGAAATTGTTTGTTTAATGATTTTTCTTTTTGATTATCGCACTATGTGGTGTCCACTCTTTGGGTAATAATGATTAATAACTGAGCATGTGGCTAAAATATGAAACAAATTTTAATTGAAGAATATGAATTTTGCACAAGTTTCAATATGTTACTTCACAAATTTTAATATGTGTGTTTTTGTGCACACTCAATGACTTTTGAATAGTTTTATTTAAATAGTTTTCATATAACAAGTTTCCAATCCAAATTATTTACATTTGTACTAAAGAAATTTTATCATTTCTTACAAGAATCACCGCGATGAATCTTCGATGTCGGCAATGGTTCTTCTATTTGAAGAATATGAATTGCTTTTGCAAATTTTCACTCGTTTTATAGTATTTTTGCACAATTTTTAATATGTTACTTCACACATTTATTATATTTTGTGTCTTATGTATTTTAAGGACTAGCTTATAATTTTATTCCAATAGTTTTCACATGACAAATCTCCATCCCAAATTATATTTATTCTTACCTACATAGATCAAAGAAATGAATCATCGATTTCGGCAACTCTAAATGAACAATAGGAAATGCTTTTACATAATTTCACCCAAATTTTAGCTCTTTTGCCCAAGTTTCAATATGTTACTTTACAAATTTTAATGTGTAATGTCTTATACATACTCAAGGACTTTTGAATAGTTTTATTGAAATGGTTTTCATGCAATCCAAATTATTTACATCTGTACTAAAGAAATTTTATAATTTCTTACAAGAATCACCACGATAAATCATCGATGTTGGCAACGGTTATTCTAATTGAAGAATATGAATTGCTGTTGCAAACTTTCACTCGTTTTATAATACTTTTGCACAATTTTTAGTATGTCACTTCACACATTTATTATATTTTGTGTTCTCATGCATCTTTAAGGAATGTCTTATAATTTTATTCCAATAGTTTTCACATGACAAATCTCCATCCCAAATTATTTTTATCTTTACCTACATGGATCAAAGAGATGAATCATTAATGTCTGTATGCACATTTCAGAAGTAAACAATATAGCCAAATTTCTGGATGGGTATTGAACTGCATATATAAAGTCCAAGTATGTTTCACAAATTTAAACCTCAATCTATTATACAGCCAAATGGAAACTAAAGCTAAACCCACTGCACAACTTCAAAAACAAATTTAGCGATAACAATATTAGAAAGAAAAAGACAAATAAAATAAAGCAGATAACAAATTTATCTTTTTTTTCCCCTGAATGTGGTAGGTTTTATTGATACAATAATAATAATAATAATAATAATAATAATAAATATAAATAAAAATAATAGAGCTAAGAAAGCTCTCACAAAACATAAACCATCAGGACCTAACTAAAACTAACCAAAAGGATAAATAAAACAGAATTAAGAAATTCAAAACAACTCTATATCCTCAAGCTTCAGCTCGAGTAGCGCTCCCAAGCATGCATCAGTAGTTAGCTGAGTAGACTGAATGTGGTAGGTTTTATTGATACAAATAAATAAATAAAAATAATAATAAAGCTGAGGATGCTCTCACAAAACATAAACTATCAAGACTAAACTAAAACTAACAAAAGGATAAATAAAACAGAATTAAGAAATTCAAAACAACTCTATATCCTCAAACTTAAGCCCGAGTAGTGCTCCCAAACACGCATCAGTAGCAGCAAACCTGAGATTACTCTCCCTCCATATATTTCAAATAATCACAGTACCATCTAATGAACTTTACTCCCATTTGTGATCCTTTTGAATTAGTCACAAACCATGCAGAGCCTCCTCGAAAGTTGCAGCCTGTAAAAGATTAATCCAATTGCATATACTAGAAAACCAGATCCGCACTTCTTTTACCAAACAATATGCCTAGAAAAAAGTCTGCCCAATGCGAGAGTTAACACAACAAAGAAAGTGGAGAAAAAAATTATTTTCGTTTACTAAAAACTAACAATATTAGATAAAGGTAAAATATTTGTTTAGCTTAATCTAATACTAATGAACACTTGGTCCACCAGCACACATATATATCTACATCAATATATCTCTTTTTATATTCAGTAGTCTCATTCCAAACATTCAATTAAAATCCTAATAATTGTTTAACTCAAGACTCAAAATTTAAAATCCAACCAAGAAAACTAAATAAAGAGAAACTTTGTAAGCTCATATCTGCCATACACAAACAATTGGACTACCTTTAAATGAGGAGGAGCCTAATTTAGGCAAGATGGGGGAAAGAAATTATATAAGGTCAAGCTGTTATAAATAATAAATTGAATGATAAACATGTGGATGTACCCAATACAATTTAATGTGCTTTAAACAATCAAAATTTAAATGCACAAGAAATTCTTAAATTTTAATTTAAAAATAAGATCAAGGGGGATGTTATCCATGTAAATAAAATTTATAACTTCAACAAAGAACTGAATATTACATACAAGAGAATGAGAAAATAAGTATTTTTCGCTTAGTCTTACATAACAACTCAATTGAACCACCTATAAAAGAATTTACCCTTAAATATTCAAAATCCTCAATGTATACATTATCATTCATGTTAGAATATACTGTAATAGTGTACTATTTAGGAAACCATTCAGAACATTAAGCCCATAAATTCATTCATTCTAAGACATTAAAAGAAAGACTAAACGTAACATGACCCCTAACATAATTTCACCATCTATACTCTATTTTTAAGCAAAAAATCCATGGAAGATAACTTAAGTCACAGACATGGTAGAAATTCAAGATACCCTAAAATTGGCAATTTTGACTTGTTTTCGAGAATTGATTCCATGAATGATTTTTCTTTTAGGAAGATCTGGCGAGTGAGATCAGCGAGAGAGCAGATTCACGAGTACAAGGGAACTTACTCGACCTAAATCTCGCTGGCCTGATCCATGTCATGCACTTGACAAATTTGGGGTTGTCGACGGAGGAGAGGATAAGCTTGGCTATTAGTTTTGTTTTGGCTAAGTCAACCATGCATGTCAAGGAAGACATTCCCTTTATTATAAATTACATTTACCGTGCATCCCCATTTTAAAAAAAAAAACTGCAAGGGCTATATATGTTACCCTTAATTTTAATTTGTAAGCGACTCAATTTGGGAATTACTCTGAAAGGCACGTACGATTATACAAACAATCACGCATACATTCACAGATAAAAAGGGATGACAAAGCAAAACTGAGATATTTAAAAAAATATATTTCCAAAAAAAAAGAATACAAATGGAAAAGAAACCCACAAAAAAGAGAGAAAAACCCAGATAATATCCGAACCATTTTTGTGCCTGTCATCCTGACGGGCCATGCTAATCTTCTCTGTTTCGTACGAAGCCTTTGTTTCTTAACCCCGATGTGGGACTAATCCATATGCTCAATACTCACACCAAGCCACTTTAGCTTACGTCATTGCAAGCATTAAACCACAAGCTTTCAACACTTGGATCTCTTCATTTTCCACTTAATTTATCGTAGTTAGACTAAATATATGTATATATACATTACATATATATATATATATATATATATATATATATATGTCACGTATGGAAGCTTTCAAAGTTTCAATGTGATGAAGCTAGTACACCCACTTGAGTATTCTATAAAATTGACATTATTTTGAACTGAAACTCGATTATAATCCAGTTATTTAGATGAATTGTTATTTCTCTCTCTCAAAAACATGCCTCTCTTAATTTACGGGCTCTAAGAACAATTTTCTGAAAACTCTATTATAAAAAGGCATGTTTCAACATAACTGTTTTAAGATCAGTTTTCTGGCTTCTTGAGAACTATTTTCTGAGTGACAAACCAAGCAAGCCCTATTCTCAAAGTGTGGTATACCCCGCGAATACATCAGAAAATCCAGTGTCTTGAGGGATTTTAAGTCTCCAAAAGTCATCTATCCTACGTATGTTCTATCCAATAAAATGAACACCCAAATCCATTTTCTGTAAGATTAGAATGTTATTTCCATTTAAGTGAAGGATTTCTCTGTCAAACAGATATGCCCAGTTGCCCATTTACCAAATTAAAGCTTTACTTCAAGGAAGATTGCAATTATAGGCTCGTTTATTATATGAGCTGATGGTAGGGTTGGCTTAGGATGGCTCTTGAAAATGTGCTTCATTAGGTTTTCGTGTTATTTTGAAAAATTCTATACCCATTCATTGATAAAGGTACTTGATGCTTGTGAATTGTAATGTAATGTCCTACAAGCACAAAATCAAAACAGAAGGGAAAAAGAAATAGAAACACATACAACAATGACCTAAATATAGTTTCTTACATATACAACACCTCCATGCATATACAACTTAACCGAGTTCCAACTTATCTCAGTCCCATAACATCTGAACACAACAACAATGATCTCGCTGATAAAAGTATGGTTACAATACAGGTTTCCTAAATGGTAACGAAATCAATGTCAATCAACAACAAAAAGTTACAACAACAATAACTCACAATGACAATAATATAAGGCAAATCTATAAATGAACTCCATCGCACATGTCAGACCATCCAACATATCAATACTGTTTTGGAGTGTAGAAAAATAAGAGAAGAAGAAGAAGCACTGTTTTATCTATAACAATGGTGTGAACAAATAGTACATGGTTTGGCTTTTAAGCTTGGTACTGTATTCTTGGTTGGACCATCTCTCTTATAACATAAGATGTTGTGCATTGTTTTATTGGATCGCAGCAACTGGAGAGTCAATAAAATTGAAAGGCAAACTAATAGCCAATAATAAAAGCGAAATGGACACTTGAATGTAACATATCAGAATTTATAGCACCAAAAAAAAATAAAAAATACTCTCTTTTAACTGAGTAGATTTCTAAGTGAAAAAAATTATAAGTAAAATCATTCATAATTTCAATCAATAAGTAACAGTGCACTAGCATACAGAGCAATTTAGCAGACATTAAGGATCCCTTTGTTTCTACGTAAAAAAAAAATTCAACTAAAATATTATTTAAATTTTTATTTTTTAGTGTTTTGTAAAATTTAGGTCGAGGTTGAGGTGGACGGGAATTGTAGAATAACTTGCCGAAAATTGATGGATAAGTTTTTTTTTTTTTTTTGTTCATAAATATTTTACAACAATCAAACACCAAAAAAAATAAAAATATATATATATATATTTTCTAAAAAATATTTTATATAGAAACAAATGAAGCTACAAATAAAAGTTTTACAAATCCGCATACTTGATCAAACAATAATGTGAAGCAGACCTATTGGCAAGGAAAGGGAGGATGAGCCCTAGTAGCATTGGGACACCATATTTGATAAAATTTGGTGGACAATAGATCAAAATTCTATTCTGGTGGGAAAAATGCAATAGCAAGCGCTGGAAATGGAAAAACAATAATGTGCAGGAATTTACATGAGACAAGTACTTAATTAGGTTTTTATGGTATTGGTGTTGTGTGGAATAGGATTAGTATCCACCATTCTCAATTTGGGAATTACTCTGTGAGGCACATAAAAACAATCATGCATACATTCGCAGACAAAAAGGAATGGCAAAACAAAATGGATAAATTTAAAATAAATATACGAAAATACTAATCTTTTTAGGTAAAATAAAAAATAAAAAATAGAAGATACTAATGGAAAAAGCGACCTACAAAAAACGAGAGAAAAACCCAGATAAGAGCAACTGTTGCCACTGCTATAACATAAGCCAAAACAAGCATTCATATACATAAATCGCAGTTATAGAGAGAGAAACAGAGCTTACCAGAGTAATCGATCACACTTCATACTGGTTAGATACCTAGATCGATTATATATATATACGCACAGTTACAAACACATATAGATACATGGGTGCTATTCGAATTGGATGGAAATCGCGGAAGACGGCCAAAAGTCGAATTTGGAGGAGTTGCAGAGAGAGCAGTCCATCGTAAGGTGGAAATACAGCAGGGGTACGGTGGGAAAGTAACAAAAAATAAGGGTATTTTAGTAAAAGCAGATGATGGGATCGAGGGCAAAAAGGTCAAGAAGAAATTTTGGACCCTTTCTGGATTTGTGCCTCACTTTTCTCTCTCATGTACTCGCATTAAGTTTAAAGACTTTCTTTCTCAAATCGATGTGGGACTATATTGTAAGGTGGAAATATAGCAGGAGTAGGGTGGAAAAGTAATAAAAAAGAAGGGTATTTTAGTAAAAATAGATGATGGGATCGAAGGCAAAAAGGTTAAGAAAAAAATTTAGACCATTTCTCGATTTGTGCGTTATTTTTCTCTCTCATTATACTCGTATTAAGTTTAAAGACTTTCTTTCTCAAATCCATGTGTGGGACTATATGAGCAATACTCACATCAAGCCACTTTAGCTTACGTCATTGCAATTATTATGATAAACCATAAGCTTTGATGAAAATATATCACAAAAATTTATAGTGCCTTATCAGATAGCATGAAATTTGTAGATTTTGGATTAGGTCTCAACAAAGATTGGACTTCATAAAATAAAAGTGTCATCATTAACAGATCTCAGCTTCACAAATGAAATTTAAGTCAAAAGGTGAATTGATCAACAAGTCTGCATTGAAGAGCCCATTTGCACACACTGGTTGAGTCACAAAGTTGCAATTTTTTGGACACCACCATATCAATCGAAAACCTCCAATTGCAGAGCTTGTTTAACACCAAAGCCCCAATCAGCTACCACTCTGCCACCACTGAAAAATAGAAGGACAAGATAGAGAATTATCCAATTCATCAGATATAAGTAATTTTATCGACACTAATTAGAAATATTATTATTATATATGTCAGATGATTGCGACAACTTCATTTAACACAACCAACATTTGAATTCACATGTTGTAAGAGTTTGTTTATTTCCACTTTATTAAAGTAGGATAGAACACAAACGAGAACTGTGTTAGAATCACAGAGAGATAGATACTTGATGATTTCCGAATGTAAAGAGTCATGAGTCCAATTCCATAATATACAAATTAATACAATGAATTCTTGTAGAAACCAGATGCAAATATTTTTAAAGAACACAATTTTTTTTTCCCCCTTAAAGAACACAATTATACAAGTCAAAGCATCAAAATCTAGAATTTGGAGAAAGCATATATCAGGTGTGTCTGTATATTATTTATTCGCCTCTATTTAATGCCAATCCTGTTTATGGGAATCCAAATGTGAGCGGACTTAAATTTTGACATTATTTTTGCATAAGGTGGGGGATTTCATACTCAAAAGTACCAAAGTGTAGTACTCAATAACCCAAGGCTCTCGAAAAATGCACATATAGTGAGAAAAAAAATAATAATAATAAATAAACTGTGTCACAGCTGCCTCCTCGTGTATAATTTTGTTTGTAAGAACGCTCCTGTGCGAATAAAAGATTTAGTAACCAAAAACATCACAACAGAAACAGAGATCTATGCAAAATGATTTCACATTGCATTAAATCCCAAAAGTAATGCAAATGAGTAAAATTAAACCAAGCAGAATTTTATGAGAGAAAAAAAATAATCATAGGCTCACATTCGGCATCTGCCAAATAATATGAACACGACGGAAAAATTAGACCTCAATACCTCTTGAAAATATCTTCCTTACTTCATGAACCATGCCATTAGAATTGCGGTTACCGAATCTAAAATACAATGTCAAACCCCATAAAGTATCTACTAAGAATCCTTGGTACGATTTCAAAAGGCCAACTTGGTGCGAGTCCCCCTCTTCAAAGCTTTGACAATTTCCTGAGCGGATTCCACTTAAAAGCAGGGAAGAGAAACAAAGTGAATGGAGGTATGGTGAATGACATTAAACCAGATTTCATCTACCGACACTAGGTTACAACAATTATCATAGCTTTTAATGACAAAACAAAACATTGCATACAAGGTTACAACAATTATAGTTTCTTACACTAGGTTACAACAATTATAGCTTTTAATGACAAAACAAAACACTGCACACAAGGTTACAACAATTATAGTTCAATACACTGCACACACCCTGTGAATACATTATACATCCAAAAATCCCATCTTGAGGGATTTTAAGTGTCCAAAAACCCTTTTCAGTGACATCTCACTTTCCTTCGAAAACGGATATTTAACCAGAAATAGTTTGTTGTATCATAAAATAACTATTGGCTGCTCTTGAAAGTGTTTCCGATATTTAGTTTTTATTGTTCTCTATGTTGTTCTGGGCAAGCTGTTATGTGTAAAATTGTTTGTCATGATGTATTCCATGCTTTGCTAAAATTGATTTGTGTATTCTGGAGCTCTGTGACTTGTGGCTAATCTTCCCAAATGCCGAGAATCTTTATATGTGTATGTATACTACTACTATTAAAAAAAAAAAATTATCCAAAAGAAAGCCAAAACCATTTTAAACACAAACTCATCAAACTCTCTCTCTCAAAATATGTTCTTTTTTCTTTCTTTTTGTCTTTTCTAATTTGTTAGTCATTTTCACTCTCTAAAGAGATAATTGTGTGTGTGTGTGTGTTAGCAGAAAGCATTTATATACGTATATGCGTTTGTGTGTGTTTATATGCAAATGCATATATATAAATATTTGCATTTTATATATACGTATTTTTTAAATTTTGAAGATTATATTTTCTAATACAGCAAGTAGTGGAAACGATGGTTGGTTTTCTAACAAATTAACAATCTCGATGTCCACTGTTGATAGAAATATATATATATATATATATATATATATAAAAGATTGTATTCTCATACCGCGTGAGATGACAAGATAAGAGTTACCCATAAAGGAAAAAAAGAAAACGAAAATAATACGTAGTATTAAGAACCCATACAATGTAAATAAGTGCTAAGATATCATCATATGATGTATGAATAATTCAAAAGAGGTTTTCCAAAGTCAAGTTTTTTAAAAATGAACCGTTATTAGACAGTTAAACAAATTTTCATAATTCACAATAACTCCCGATAAAATAGTAGTCTTATTATTGCACCGTAAATTAATAGTGCTCCAAATTTATTCCTCAAGAATAGAAGAAATGGAAGTAGTACAAACTTTGTAGTGGATTTTTATCCCCAATTATCATAATTTGGGACCAACTAAAACTTGTAATAAAAAAAAATCAAATCACTATCTAAATACAGGAACCAAACGTGAAGAGATCATCAGTTATTGCTCTGCCAAATAGACATCCAATGGCGAAAAATAAAAACTTGAAATTAAAACACCACAATGATACCAGTAACAACAATAAAAGATACTTTTAGACCTAATCCTTGTACTTCATTTCAGACATCAAGAAGCCGGGCATGTCAAAAGAAGCTGAAAACTTCTCGACGTCGGCCTTGAGTTCTTCAATGTCCTTGTTGTTCACCAGACCCTTGTTGAAGTCTTTCAAGAGTTTTCCATGCTCTTTTTGGATCTTCAAAGTGAGGGTCACAGCACGGTGAAGCAACTCCGCTATATGCTCGAAGTCTTTCTCAACCAACCCTCTGGAAGTCATGGCCGGTGCACCTGCCAACAGGATATCCCATCACTCATTTATTCAATGTTTGTCACCCAAGTTTCTTATTTTATGCTTTCATTTCTATCACTCTTTTAACAATTTACTTCAGCATTATAATATCTTTTCAAGTATTTGCATTATCTTTCCTACAAGAATGGACCACCTTCTTTGGAGTGGTCAAAAAGGGCCAATTTTGTTTTTAACTCATGCTTCTTGAGTAGATGGGCCATTTTTTTTTTTTTCCAGAAAAAAAGAACAACCCAACCACTAGCCACTTTGGACTCTCAGATGGTTCGCAAACTCCGGATGCATAATAGCAAGTCCAGGCCACGCCTTTGGTGAGTAATCCCAAAGGCATTACCAGTTGAGCTAGCCCCTGCTGGCTAAAAGAATGTAACACTCGTGTTAGGCACCTTTTCCTTCCTAGCAAATGTCCTTAAGAGTAAAAACCTTACTTTCCGGAAACGAAAAAAAAAAAAAAAATTTGTCCTTAAGAGTATTTTTTTTAGTAGAAAAAACAGCAGCCTCCAGTTTTCCTAATTATTTCTAGAAAAAACCTTACCTCACACTCACATTCCTCACAAACTTGTAGTTTCTCTTAACAGATGATGACTAAATATGAATACAATATTAGTCGAAGTAGCTGTTCTTACCAATGCGAACCCCTCCGGGGGCCAAGGCACTGCTGTCACCAAACACAGCATTCTTGTTCACAGTAATGTTGCATAGGTCACAAAGCTTCTCAACCTTATTGCCTGCAATAAGGGCAACAAATGATTAAAGTTGTATTTGATAGAATATTGATGTCTAGTAATGTCAAATTCCCAGAAATCAACTAATTCCGATCCTTTTTACCAGTCAATCCAAGAGGGCGAAGATCCCACAGAACAAGGTGGTTCTCAGTCCCGCCCGTGACAAGCTTGTAATCTTTGCTCATCAAGTAGTTTCCAAGAGCAACTGCATTGGCTCTGACTTGCTTAGCATAGGCCTTGAACCCAGGTGACATGGCCTGTTTCAGAGCAACGGCCAGAGCAGCGATCTGGTGATTGTGGGGACCGCCCTGAAGGGAGGGGAAGACGGCAAAGTTGACCTTGTCTTCGAAGTCATAAACTGCACCTTCAGGCTGGCCCTTCTTAGCTGGTTTAGGTCCCTTCCGGTAGAAGATCATACCAGCCCTAGGGCCCCTCAAAGACTTGTGGGTTGTGGTTGTGACTATGTCACAGTACTCAAATGGATCTGCAGCTTCCTACACACCCGACAAAAATAATTAGCATAAATTTATTGGATCTAGAAGATCGATGATGACAATATTCAAAAAAGAGCAAAATCCATTTTAAAATGACATCTTGGACATCTCAAGATTCTTGTGATTTTGTATTCAATCTAATCCATCAGTTTGCTTAATACGTGAACATATATCTACATTTAGATTCAGAATTCCAAAATTTAATGACTTCATATTAATATAATAATCGAAATAAAAAACCACCGCCTCATTGGCACGGTTCCTGTCCACAATTTCCTATTCCTAGATCTGGACTGGCAGCTAGATGTGCCGACAAATAAATTCAGATCTATTCCATGTTTTATTAGAAGATCTCCACAACCCCATTAATAACATTTTGCTAATATCAAAACCTTAAGTTCTCTTTATATATTCATCTAGATTGAACAATAAAGTGAGACCATTAATAACAATTCAACAGATCTTTAGCCTATGTATTTCCTAATTTCCCACTCAACTTAAATAACTCTAATCCAATGCAAATTCAATAACAGTCACCAGAAACAAATTGAATCAGAATTGAGACTTCTCATTTCTACAAGTCTGTAAATCAAGTTAGCCTTTTCTGAAAAATCAAATCCAAACATTCATACAGATCCAACAAGAAAAAACAAGTACATATACAGATTTATATAAAGATCCAATGACTAAACTACAGAGCACACAAGTAAAACCAGAGTTTTTAAATCTGAAATGCAGATCTCCACATTTCAATCAAATAAACCAACTAAATCACACTAAAATCCAGATCAAAAGTCCCAAATTTAGCCTGATTTACAACACAAATACCAAATCACAAGCAGATCTACTTCCAAAAACCAATAAACCCAAGTCAAACTTGCATTCACATTCAAAACCAAAACCCAATAAGAATAGAAAATTTTCTCAATAACCATACCTGAGCAGCAACAAGGCCACTGATATGAGCCATGTCACAGAGCAAAAGCGCGCCACACTTATCCGCAACAGCGCGAAACCTCGCGTAATCCCAATCCCTAGGGTACGCACTCCCTCCACAAATGATCAATTTGGGTCTGAAATCCAATGCCTTCTCTTCCAACTTGTCATAATCTATATACCCAGTTTTCGAATCCACCTTATACGGCAAGCTCTCGAAGTAAATCGACGTCGCCGAGATCTTCTTCCCACCGGACGTGTAGTACCCATGAGTCAAATGCCCACCGGACGGCAAGTCCAGACCCATGATGCGGTCGTGGGGATTGAGCACCGCCGTGTAGGCGGCGAAATTGGCTGGACTGCCGGAATAAGGCTGCACATTGACGCCCCATTTGGTGGGGTCGAGACGGTAGGCTTGGAGGGCTCGGCTACGGCAGAGATTCTCGATCTGGTCGATGTACTCGTTGCCGCCGTAGTAGCGGTTTCCGGGCATACCCTCGGAGTACTTGTTGGTGAGGGCACTGCCGAGAGCTTCGATGACGGCGAAGGAGGTGAAGTTCTCGGAGGCGATGAGCTCGATTCCGCGGCATTGGCGGCGCTTCTCCTTCTCGATGAGGTCGTGGATATCGGGGTCGATGGTTTCGAGAGGGGTGTTGCCCCAAGAAGTTACGGGATCCATCGGAGATTGTAGAGAGAGAAAGAAATGTGAGAGAGAAAGAGGGGGTTGTAGAGCGAGAGAGAAGGATGGAGTGTTGCAGGTTGTTCGGCAGTGGCGGAGGCAAGTGTTTAAAGGAGTCTAATGTTGCTGAAAGTACCGTTATGCCCTGTTTGTTGGTTGGTGAGTGAGAGTGAGTTTTCTTTTTTTCTTTTTTCTTTTTTTTCCTTTAAAATGTCAGCAAGAGTGCTTTTTAGTTAGATATTTAATTTTGAAAAAAAATATACTGGATTCAACTGGTGATTTCATAATGTGTATTAGTTGGTGAATTTGTTTTTGCTTTTAGGATGAATTAAGTTTGGTCATAATCGCTAAATTTTAGGTTAGACATTTGAAGACAAATATCTTGTGTTTTCCTGTTTTTCTATTGTTAGTCACAGTTCATGAGTATATAAGTTTTACTAATTTTTCTTATTTTTCAGAAATAATTACATTTTAATTTTTGAATCTCTGCCCAATTTTTTTTTTTTTTTTTGCAATACATTGGATTAGTCATTATGATGCAAAAATATTTTTCGTATTAAAGATGATGCATTTTGAAAATGGTGAGTAATACAAAATGAATATTATTTGCACCGTGTGAGTTTAGTCCTATGGTATGACATAAAAAGTATTTTTCGTAAAAATTGAATATAATTAGACGCAAATTGACACAAGGTAATAGATGGGATGTGACACATGATATTAGAGTCGATACTTAATGTCCTCGTATATGAGAGTTCTTTGGCGAAAATGAGATGTGTTTGAAGCTCCTTCACACTTCAAATTGCAAGGGATGGTTGAGCTAGCACATAACCGACACAATGTGATATTTTTGCAGGTAATTGAAGGACAAATGAATAGTTAAGAACTATGCAATTTGTAGCGAGAAATAAATGATGTGAAAGGTCGTATTCCAAAACTTTATAAGTTAATAACTTGAGACAATTACAGCCATAGCCTCCAGTACAAAATGTTTAAGGTTTTAGGTTACATGGTCTATGAAACTAGTGAAGGTTAATTTTGAACGAGCCACAAGTTTTGGATTCCAGTGTTAATCTTTATCTTATGATCTAAATAGCATTATATTTATTTTAATCTTCCAACTTAGAAGAACCAAACATAAGTTTCAATCTTAATTTCATAAGCCAAATCCAAGAAATTTCCAAATATGAAAGAAAAGGCTTAAAGGGAAGTGTGACTGTGATCCTAAAAAAGTGGACAAAAGATGTTCATATATGTTGACATAAATTTGGTACCATGAGAGGACTATGACCATGAATTTATGATTCTGTCTCATGTGAAAACTCTTGATTCAATATCTTTTTGATGTCATGATAGCTTCTCCTAGGTGGATGTCTGAAAATTCCAATAACCTTTTAGTTCGATTTAGATGGGTGTATTTGAAATGGATGATTCTGTATTAATTATTTGATTAATAAAACTTAAAATTTTGATGCCCTAACAAACAATGTTGTCGGGAGGGTGTGAGCTCACTGAGAACGCTCTCGTTACAATATTTTTTCCTAAATTTATGGTCCAATCTTCTTGGATCTCTTAATCAATTCCAAAAACTTACTCATCTTACATTAATACGGATCATGCTCGTTTCCTTACAAGTGAGGATGAACTTCCTCCTTACCATAGATGTAATACAATAGGAATTATAAATTTTAAGTTAAAATTGAATTTGTGTCATCCTACCATTATATACTATATCAAGAGTGAGAAAGTACTTCACCATTATTATCTTTTTAAATCTAAATTAGAATATAAAAACGTTGAAATTAAGCAATTAAGAGAGTTGATTAACTACCAAACTCATGATGAGTCGGCACAACATTCAACATCCAACCATTTTAATGTTCCATTTGGATACAAGCCAACGTTGTAGGCCTCCGCCGAACCTCACCGTCACCGTTAAGCCGAATATTGTTCTATTAACATTTGATTATTTGAAACTAAATCCCTTAATCACAAATTGAGCTATGGTATACTTTTGACATTTTGGTAATTTTACAAGTTGACATACCAATGAGGATGTAGTCACCTAATACCACCCAAAAAGGCTGAATGATAAGAGTCCATATAGTGTTGATGAGAGACTTGCCTACTTGGTATGTGCACCAACAACATTTTCTAAATGTCCTCACCATGTCATTGTTTGAAGTTGGTAAAAATTAGGAAATATGGGTTAGAAAATGATAAACTTTGGGGTTGGTGTGTGAGTTGTTAGGGGCAATTTAGTCTTTTCAAACACACCAACCCCTGATACCGACGCTAGTCTCAGTCCTCCCTTCCGCTCCATCCCTTTTGTATAAAGGTCGGTGGTGGTGGGTCATGGGCGCACGTAGAATCGGTAATGATCAAAACAAAGATTTCATACCTTCACAAAATTTTCACAAAATTAGTGGAATCAATTTTTTAATTAAAATATTGATTCAATAATTAAATATCTCACCAACTACTATCACATTTGTCCATATACGTGTATGTATATATTACACACACATAAACACATAGTATAAATAAATACACATTGGGTTGCATATATCTCTCAATTAAATATGTTGCACATGGCTACCACCTCTTTTGACGTATGATGATTCAATTAATATGTGATGCTAGTGAATATATTTCTTCCTTCTTTTTTTCTTTTTTTTTTTCCCCTTTTTTCCCTAAATTCATAATATTTTACTGTTTATTCATTACAATTTAAATTGATAATATAATACATTACATAAAAAACGCAAGTTATATACAATAACTATGTTGTCATGTAGGACTTGTTTGTAAATAACACATCACATCCCTTCATTGGCCGTCAACACAGTTAACAATGAAGAATGCGTGTCATTAAATTTATAATGTTCAAATTTCAATTATATTTAAAAAAAAAAAAATTATTATAGTAAAATAAGATAGAATGTAATTATATTGCAATTTAATATTAATGAATTGTTGAGACATATTATCAATTTAATTGCAATGAATTTTATGGTAGTCAACTTTAAACTTTTAAGACTTCGCTTGGATAGAATGATTTGGAAAGAGAGAAAAAAAAAAATAGTGAAAATTGTGTTTGGAGTAAAGAAAAATAATTATGAGAGATTTGGAGAGATAGTTGTCTCTCCAAATTCCTCAAGTGTTATCATTTAAAAAATAAAAAGATTTAAAAGGAAAGGTTTTTTTTTTTTTTTGGGATAGTAAAAGTAAAAACACACACACACACTTTTTGCCCATTCCGGGCTCGAACCCTTTCCCTGAAGAGGGGAGGTTATATCATTGGGCCAAAGGCTCTTTGGTTAAAAGGAAATGTTTGATAGTGAATAAGTAGTATTTTCTTAATTTTAAAATTATATTTTTATAATATTTTACTTTTATATTATAATATTTTATAAAAAGATTATGATAATAATTTATTCTTATTTTTTAATTTATTTTCTCTCTTTTATCTTTTTCAAATAAAAATATTACCATTCTTTTTATTTTCTCTTATAAATTATTCAAATATAAATAAAAACTATTGTTATTATTTTTTTCTTTTATTTTTTCTCGTATTTATTCAAACAAAGCCAACTATGAATATAGTTAAAGAGGTAAAGGAAAATAATTTTTGCATTCCCAAAAGATAATATCGGATGTTGAATCACATCTGATACAAAATAAATCAAAGATATTTTGAAGCTTTAATTAAATACAGAAATAATTCAATAGATTGGACCACCCACGTGAGCTGGTTGTCGTGTGGCGGGAGTCAAGATCTGGATGAGTTTTTCTCACATGTTTAAGTTCAATTTATTGTATTTGTACTTCGAAATTTCTAGTAATATGTTTCCATGCATATATATATATATATATATGTACACCTCCACAGTTCCATATACATTAGAAGATACTGTACTTCCACTTCATTTACTCATTTTACCATAATTACCCTTCAAAAGCACTCTTCATAATTATTTTAAATATATTTATACACTCCACTCTGAGGGTATATTTGTCATTTTTTTATTAAAATTTTTAAATTTACAGAGTGAAATTGAAAAAACGTGAGTGCCTATATGAAATCTCATATATATATAATGTAAATCAAATCTTATTGGATTTAATTATAAACTATGAAGCATGATGTCGACACTAGCGCGATACAGAGTACAGACACAGATAAAATACTGGTACAAAATGTTATGTCAAAATAAATAATATAATATAATATTATATATATATATATATATATTGCTATTTTGTCATATACTCATGAACACACACTCCAACGACATCGTCCATGCCATTTTTCATTTTTTTTCTATTAAGAATGTTAGTAATTATGATTTGGCGCCGACAATAACATACTTTTACCATCAACGATTATAGTTTAAAGTATAAGATTAGAGTTTTAAAGGGCTCGTAAAAATAAATGATTACGTGAGTTTTTAAAAGTAACAAAAAAAAAAAACCTTTAACGATAATATTTCTCTATTATTTATCATTTAAATTGTTTTAATGGAAGAGGTTATTGTTAAAATATGTTCAATTGTTAGATCTGGATAAATGAATTCAATTTAGATTGTTAACAAACTCAATTAAATTAAGTTTGGAGTTTATGAATATTAATCCAAACGGGGTGCAATCTAATCACTAAATTACGAAGTCGTAATATTGATCCAAATTGAATTTCAATATAGCTTTATTAATCAAACTATTAACTTCTACCATTTTTTTTTTCCTCTCTTTTTTGGGTATAGATTGTTTATCAAAACATTTAAAGCTCAAACCATCCCTTACTAATCAAATTGGCTCACCTAAACAATTTAACTCTCCTTCATGATTTTATATCAAGTCTTTCAAGGGTGAGGTTGGATATTTTAAACAAAATAAATAAATAAAAATCCTATATTTTTTCAAATATATTCATGAACTGACTTTAATTTTACTACAAATTTTTTCTTTTGGAGGGATGGTCTAATTAGGTAGCCAAAAGATCATTCTTTTCTTTTTCCTTCAATTGACCATTTGTTTAGGTTGTTAAAATAAGAATTATAAATCATAAATTTTGTTATTTTTCTCTCTTTCTTATATTAAAATATTTTCCTATATTAAAAAATTACTTTTAAAACACACAAAACAGCCAAATAAGCTAACAAAATATTAAGCTTTTCAAGTTTCATAAACTGGTAATATGACATAACACAGTAAAATATTTAATAAATGAGTCAAAATCAAATAAGATTATAGGAAATATTTAATTAAAATTTTATATAGTTAAAATTAAATCGACATGAATACTATATGTTTAGTTAAATAAATAATTTCTAATGCGAATAAAAAAAAATTATCAGAAATGTTTAATTAAACAGAACAAATCAGTTTATAAAATGGACTAGCAGTACACCTATTCAATTAGTGTGTAAATTTGATCAACAAAATTACGATTCCAAACATGTTAAGTTAAATTAAAATTTACTTGTATCATGTCAGTGTCAAGTACTGTAATTATTATTAATAAAATATCTTTGGAATTATGCCAAAAATTGGAAATTAAGTTTCATTTTAATATGAATTTGGAAAAACCTATTAAGTCAGTGCCATTTTAATACAAATGCACTCATGTTTGGTTGTATTGATGGAGTAATAACTCATTTTCGAATATTTTATATCATTACATACTTTTATAAATTGATCAATGTGCTCAATTTATATTGAAATTTCTTTTGCCCTGAAATAAGTATTGTATTTAAAAAATCGTGACTCACATTAATTTTTAAATAAAATATTTATTTTTAGGACGAAAGGTATATTTATTTTACAGCAATCCTACCGCTACTGCAAACCAGCGGCAGCCCATACCTCAAATTTTGGGCAGCTTTGTGGACCACTGACAAGAGTCACTTGACGACGTATGATTGGTGATTTGCTGCAGATTAATTTATTGTGACAGTTGGATCTAATTCATTGGATCAATGAAAAATTATTAAAAAGTGATCGCGACGTGTTCACAGTAGCAAATGTGATTTAAGTGCGCATTTTAGTGTTGGGAGATTGATGATTAAACAGATCAAATATTTGCTTTCCGATACTAATCCTGTGAGCTGTAAGTCATAATTTTTATTTTTTTTTTAAGGAAAAAGGCAAAAACAAAAATTACAAATATTTGCTTGGTAAAAAAAAATAAAAAAATACTTGATTGAAATATTTGGGAGTTATTTAAAAGACATATATTACACTTTGTTTCTCTTTTTGTTAAAGTATTAACATTCAAAAATGCGTAGATGATATATTCTCGATCATATATATGTACGCATTTATATGAAATACTCATTGAAGGAGAAGTGTGAATCAATATCAAATTAGGTTTTTCTCTATAATTTTCTTTTCCCTACTTTTAACTTTTATATATATATATATATTTTCTTCTTACTCATGACTTTATAATTTTGATAAATATGAAGTTGATTATTTATAATTTTTATCATTAAGAAAATTAGGATTCTTATTTAAGAGAAAGAGAACTCAAAATATAATTTAAAATTTTTTAAAGTGAATTATGTATTTATTTAATTATTTACACATGAAAATTTGTCAAAATTAGGGTTCTTATTGAAGAGAAATAAATATCCATAAAACGTTAGTCAAAGAGTTTTGTTTGGGTTCAGATTTTACAATAAATAATTTTTTTAAATTTTTTCTCTCAATTATATCATGTATTTTGGACAACATTATTTTTAGAACACACAGAGAAGTTGCCATATCATCTGCAATATAAAAGTTATTTTTGTAATACAATAATTTGTGATGAATTTACCACAAAATAATAAAAAGTTTTCAAACTACCTGACAAGGGCCGTTAACAAAAAGTCAGTTAAGTTGTAAAATCATAACGCAAAAAATATTATTTTTAAATACTTGAAAAAAAAAGTTATACGAAAAATACTATTTTTTTAAATTAATTTTTTAAAAATAGTCAACCGAACAAATTTTTGTACATTTTTTAAAAAAAAATTTAATTATTAAAAAACATAAATTTATCTTCAGACAATTGAATCAAGTAATATCCGCCCTACCTTTTTTTTAAAAAAATGCACTTTTTTTTTCTTAATATAAATAAGAAATATATTTATAATGATTAGTTCTCTTATTTAATAGCGTCAAATAACCAGAAAATGAAAATATTTTAACTTTTTGAAAATTTGGTCAAGGGAAAATGAAAGTTTTGGGGAAAGTAGGATTCCCGCATCTCAAAATCTTTCGTGCAAAAAAAACACACGAAATTCTTTATATATTACTTTCCTATTATACTCATGTTAGTGGTCTCTCTTCTTCTTTACTTAATTGCGTAGACTTCATTGAAAAGGAGAGTTTCTTTCTTCTGTAAATTGCTTTTTTATATAAAATTATGTATTACTAATTTAATTGTTTGTATTTTTTTTATGTGTGCATCCAAAATTAATTATTTTTTTTCCTTTTACTATTGAATTATTATTATTTTTAAATGTCTTAAATAAGTAAAATATTATTAAAACTAACATAAAGAGAAAATAAATACTTAAATTTTGATTGTCCACTTTACCAAAACTTTTTTTTTTCTTACCTTAAAAAGTAAAAGATTGAGAATTTAAATTTACATACGAACAAGTGAATATATAAAGAGAAAGAAAACAAAAAAAATTGTATTATGATATGACATACTATTTTATTCCATATTTTACTATTTTCTTACTAAAATAAATAATTAAGTATAAATGATATTTATCAAACATAAATTTATTTATTTTTTTACTATTTAAAATTATAAGGGTATTTTCGATGAGTAAAATCATTTTCTTTTTCTTTTCATTTAATCCAAACTAATAAAATAATATTTTCTTACAACTTTCTTCAAAATATTTATTACTAACCAAATGCATGATAGAAACTTGATTTTTCTTTCTTTTACTTTCACTTGTACTTTTCATAAAATTTTTTGCCAAATGCATGATTAAAAACTTGATTTTTCTTTCTTTTACTTTCACTTTTACTTTTTATAAAATTTTTTGTTTAACAAAATAGACTAAAAAAAAAAAAATAAAAAGAAGTACAAATATTGTCTCATCCCATTAATTACTTTATGGATACATTTACTTTTAAAAAGTGACATTATTACATGTAAAATAATAAATCAGTCAACAAACATCACACATAATTTACATTAAATTAATAATAATAATAAATAAAATGAAATGAAAAGGTTTTTTTTTTTTTTTTTTTTTTTTGGTTCTTTCTATGTACCTCCAAATTCCAATGAAAGGCATTGGTTAAGCGATAAGAGTCCCAAAGGTGATGATGTCAAGAGACCATCTTATCATCGTTGATTTTTATCAAAACTCTTAGGGCCCACACATCATCGTCCGATTTCTACGTAAATGGACTTTACCAAATCCACCAAACAATAAATCACAAATCACAAATCCTGACCGTCCATTTTACTCTTCTAACCTATATATACCACTTCCCTCTCCCCATCTCTTCCTTGTCTACTCTCCTTCCTCCTACAACCAGAGAGAAGAGAGAGAAACCCAATTTCAGATCCAATCTAGAGAGAGAGAGTAACCCCTAAAAATGGCCTTGTCAGTAGAGAAAACCACCTCTGGCCGTGAATACAAGGTCAAGGACATGTCCCAGGCCGATTTCGGCCGTCTCGAAATCGAGCTTGCCGAAGTGGAAATGCCTGGGCTCATGTCTTGCCGGACCGAGTTCGGCCCATCCCAGCCCTTCAAGGGAGCTCGGATCACCGGCTCGCTCCACATGACCATCCAGACCGCCGTCCTCATCGAAACCCTAACCGCCTTGGGTGCCGAGGTCCGTTGGTGCTCCTGCAACATCTTCTCCACGCAAGACCACGCCGCCTCCGCCATCGCTCGCGACAGCGCCGCCGTGTTCGCCTGGAAGGGCGAGACCCTCCAGGAGTACTGGTGGTGCACCGAGCGTGCTCTCGATTGGGGCCCTGGTGGTGGACCTGACCTTATCGTCGACGATGGCGGCGACGCCACGCTGTTGATTCACGAGGGAGTGAAGGCAGAGGAGGAGTTTGAGAAGTCCGGAAAGGTGCCGGATCCGAGCTCAACCGACAACGCCGAGTTCCAGATCGTGCTCACGATTATCAGGGATGGGCTTAAATCGGATCCCAAGAAGTATCACAAGATGAAGGATAGATTGGTTGGTGTTTCGGAGGAGACCACCACCGGTGTTAAGAGGCTCTATCAGATGCAGATCAATGGAACGTTGTTGTTCCCTGCTATCAATGTCAACGACTCTGTCACCAAGAGCAAGGTAATCTTCTACTGTTTCTGAATACATTAGATCTGATATATATGTATATATATATTTGTTTGTGTATGTATGTGTGTAGTAGTTAGATTCATTATGCTTCAGATCTGAAGTTCACTATCATTGAGCTTTGATTATGGTTAATGATGCTTAGCTTAAAATGTCATTTTTGATCTGAAAAACATATATGAAATAGAAAAACATATATGAAATAGATTGTCTTTTCATCTAAGATTTGCTTTATTTGATCTCATTTTCTATAAATCTTAATTTTAGTGAATGGTTGGTTTAGTACCTCGATTCTCGATTCAGTATTAATTGATACAAAGAGTTATTACAGTAATTGAATCTATCTATTACATTAATTAATTGATACAAAGAGTTATTACAGTAATTGAATCTATCTATTACAGTAATTGAATCTATCTCAAATTATTAGATCTAAGTCGGATCCTCTCCTGTAGCAACTTTACATTGCTAATGCAACAACTACCTTACATTAAGATGTAGGGGTCCAGGTTCTATATAGATCATAGTCTTATAGAGTGCTTAGTTTTCTAATCTTATAGAGTACTTAGATTTCTTGTCTTTTGACATTTTTTTTATGATCTTGGTGCAAACAGTTTGACAACTTGTATGGTTGCCGCCACTCGCTGCCCGATGGCTTGATGAGAGCCACAGATGTGATGATTGCTGGCAAGGTTGCGGTCGTCTGCGGTTATGGAGATGTGGGAAAGGGCTGTGCAGCTGCCATGAAGCAAGCCGGAGCCAGGGTGATTGTGACTGAGATTGATCCAATCTGTGCTCTTCAGGCTCTTATGGAGGGTATCCCAGTTCAAACCCTAGAAGATGTGGTGTCCGAAGCTGACATTTTCGTCACCACCACCGGTAACAAGGACATTATCATGCTTCACCACATGAGGAAGATGAAGAACAATGCCATTGTATGCAACATTGGCCACTTTGACAATGAAATCGACATGCTCGGTTTGGAGACATACCCAGGTGTGCAAAGGATCACAATTAAGCCCCAAACTGACAGGTGGGTCTTCCCAGATACAAAGACCGGCATCATTGTGTTGGCCGAGGGAAGACTCATGAACTTGGGTTGCGCCACCGGACACCCTAGCTTTGTGATGTCTTGCTCATTCACCAACCAAGTGATTGCTCAGCTTGAGCTGTGGAAGGAGAAGAGTACTGGGAAGTATGAGAAGAAGGTGTATGTCTTGCCCAAACACCTAGATGAGAAGGTTGCTGCACTCCACCTTGCCAAGCTTGGTGCTAAGCTCACTAAGCTCAGCAAGGATCAAGCTGACTACATTAGTGTGCCCGTTGAGGGTCCTTACAAGCCTGCTAACTACAGGTACTAGAGAGAGTTGAGGGCAAGTTCAGAAGAAAGTGTTTTGCATACTTTGATTGACGTTAGATTGCTAGTTTTTGATTGTTTTGGGGGTGTTTGGGGGGTTGGAAAGTAGAGAGGAAAGAGTTGGATTGGTCTCTTCTCTTGAAGAAAAGGCCAAATTAGGTGTTTGAATAAGGCTTGACTATGGTGGGTGTTGTTTTGGATGTATTTGATACTGCTGCTGCAGTTTAAGAATATTTTGCTATATTGTGTCGTGATTTTATGAACAAAAGGGAAAAAAATATTTGCCTTTTTTGAGCAAGGACTGTTTGGCTTTATTTTTTATACACCATCCAGCATTGGAAACAAAATCTTCTTATTCAACTTTTTAATTTTTATTTATTTTTGTTGTTAAATCTATTAATTAATATTTTGACTGATTGAATAATAGGGATATTGATTTTGAAAAGATATGATTGTGTATTATTTATAAGGTTAATATAAGGAAGACTAATCCATAAAAGGGTCATTTTCATTTTGAAAAGATAATGACTGTGTTTAAGGAAGACCATACATAGGCGGTAGAATATAGAAAAAGATTTCTGTAGCCAAGCTTAATGCTGACCTTGTGTGCAAGTCAGGTTGTGCACACTACGGTGTTCTAATAAAAAGTTGACACTTCTTTTAAATTTTAAAAAATACAAAACATAATACTCATTTTTCAGGTTAAACTGGACAGATTTACTTTTTTTTTTTTCTCTCTTTGCTCTTATCGGTTTAGCCATTATGTCCTCCATCACTTCGCTTCAGATTGAATCGATTTATTCTTAAAACAGATATGTTAAAATATTTGAATCAATTTATATTTGTCCGGCATGTTCTGTTCCTTTTGCTCTCATTCTTATTTACAAAAAGAGATATGGAATAATTTTCATACATAGCATGCATAAAAAACAGTAGAAATGGTTAGTTCAATTTTTTTAAGGATAATTTTCTATCTTAAGAAAATTAAAAATAACAGAAAAATGTAGAAAATACAATTTTTCATGAATAAGGAAAAAAATAGATGTCTTGAGTTTAACTATAATAAATGGATATAACCCATGTTTTGAATTTTTTTGGGTTTAACTATAACAAATGGATATAAACCATGTTTTGAATTTGTTTAAGTTTAAAAGAGGTGTTAACCTCTTATTAAAACACATTAATGTGCAGGTTACAATCTGTCTTGACGGGGGCAGGACTGAAGCATTGTCCTTTATGCTAAGAACCTAAATTGAAAATTTATTCATTTCGCATTTAGTTCCATGTGGTTGATGGGCTGCATCATTAGTACTTAGGAAGATATAACTAGCTTGGAGAAAAGGAAAGAGAGAATTCTATTTATTTTTAAATCTTGATGCACCTCTCTGCTTGCCAACCACGGGAGAGGCTTTGTCCCACTTTGGATGGCGGGTAGGCCCTATCCAAGTGCTGGTAGATAACAGTACTCAATGTATTAAACTTTAAAAGGTTAGGAGACCCATTACAGCTGCTGGTATCAGAATTATAATTAGTTTTTGGTCCGGTGCCGTGCCAAGCGTCCGGCCCGGATATGTCAAGCCCCAAACCTACCTCATGTTGCCTGTTCAATGAAACAAAGAGGATTATATCCCAAGGGGTATTGTTGGATTAAGAGAGCTTCAGAAACTAGGGTACTTGACAGCACCCCTTGGATCTGGGAAGCTGGAATAGAGGGTCGGTACGAAAGAGAAGCATTAAGAAAACATCTAAGAAACTCAAATTTGAAGGCCAGTGACCTACCACAGAGGGAATGTGGGAAAGAGAATCATTAAGAAAACATCTGAGAAACTCAAATTTGAAGACCAGTGACCTACCACAGAGGGACTGTGGGATGGACACCATCCTTGGACTTGATCTCTGGGCATCGATGAAACTTCAATATGCTGCAGCTTGCATCAAGAGTGAGACCCTCCAAGAATTTTAGGGAAATGGAATTTATGAGGATACAAGGTGTCCCACCTGGGATTGGAGCTTGAACAACCGAAAACTTGCTTGCCATCACTTTTTGGTGTTCAAGTCATGACACAGACTCTCGCAATAGAGTCGTCCAGCATTATAGGAAATAAGATTTATCTAAAGTAGCATCAAACCAACAATTCAACGAAGTTAACCATTCAGAAGTCAATGACAAAAAACACATTAGCGATCCAATGAATCACTCTGAATATAGTAGAAAAAAATGCTTTGTCAACCAGTTGGTATACCTACACACCTACTAGTTCTTGTCTAGGTAAGAAATAGTGGAAGCATAGAAAAGATCATAGCATAGTAAACAGGTTGTTGTCAAAGCACACAATTAAGGCAAAAATGTTCTCTCTTCAAGTAGGGTTAGTCCCCGCACTCCCAACGGGATCCCTTACTCAAATGAAATTCCGACAAAGTGTGCGCGTCTATATAAGGATAGAAGAATTGGCTTTAACAAAATTTAATTCATAAAGTTGAAATAAACATCAATAGAAAGAAAACGATCTTTAATATATGTGAAATCTAGAAGTAAAAACAATTCCAGTGTCTTTGACGATGATATACAACTTGCTACAAATGTGACGCTGTTACCATCAATTGGAAAGCAGCAGTGTGAATAAAGGGAGGCAGTTAAGCACTTAATTTTTGGCACTTTAGCCTTTTCCAAACAGTTTATACAAAGTAGAAAGTACAGAATGACAGATCATGCTGATTATCAACAGATGTAGCATCCTATAACAAATTATATCCCAGTGGCTTAATGAAGAATAACCGACTTCCCTACTTTTCATATTTATATATACACTGAACAACACACTATCCATAAGCAATCAGGTGAAAAATAATAGCCCAAACCCAGGGTCAAAATATATAGTTCAGTAGGTTACATCTTAAGCTGAAATCAAATGCAAAGAGTTACTCGTGCCTCCGGACATGACAATGAATTCAAGCAACCTAAGCAAAACCCAATACAATGAAAAACATTAACATAATATGATCATAAACAAGAAATGCAGGTACTAGGACGCCATGCGCTCCTCATTGCACTATTTCAGTCCTCCAACCCTCTTTAGATTTCTCTGGTTCTCGCATTCCCATTAAAATGGGAGTAGCATAAGATGAGGCAAAGTTTGTGAAAAGATAAAAGAGGATTTTTAGAGCAGGCATGCTATTTTTTTCCATTCTTTCATGGGGGAAGAGCAAAATTGTGATTTGGCTACTGCTAAAACCACACATCAACCCATGATAGAATTGTAAGAATATTACAGAAAGCATATATGTTGTGTTCATATAAATACGTATTGCATGTTATATTTTTCAGATAAAATACTTATAAAAAAATATATATATTTTTCAGATAAAATGGGTTCGTTTTGCTACATGGGAAAACACCAACTGCACCCCAATTCTCTATCGGACTAAGAAGCCTCCTCAGATGTGGTCCAACAAGTAACAAGCATCAGATGATGCATAACACATACACACAGAGAATCACCTTGATGGATTGACCCAAACAAAAGGATTTTCAATGATTATCACAAAATCAGACTTCAAATAGATCACAAGGCACAACTACTGTAACCACATCATCTATTAGCATGGTTTTCAAGAATCTCCCCAATGATCTGAAGAACATGTCTAGCAAGAAAACCTTTACCTAGTTAAAAACTTTAGCCAGCTCTTTTTTGAGATGTTAATATTGCTTTTAATTTCTTGGAGACCATTTTTGGAAGCAAATGCCATGGATTTCAAATAGCACATTGTTGGATTGAAGAATGCCATATCAATAGCGTTTTTTTATGGAAGTGACGGTTTTTATTTGTTACAGAAAGAAAAATCTAGCATTTGCATCATCTACCAAAATTTCTGAATTTCTGAACTTGAGCATTCAAATTCCCATCTCTCTCTATATATACACACATTTGGCTAAGAGTTTGCCAAAAATTATAGAACTCGTTACTAAAGAATCCTACTTTCTAGTACATAACTTCCAATATTTATGTAAACATAGAAACAACTTGTGTGTGTGTGCGTAGAGAGAGAGAGAGAGAGAGAGAGAGCAAATATAAATAAAAATAAGAAGGCAAACAAAATAAATTTGGATTTTATTATTATTATTTTTTTGGGTAAGTAATACGATCTGGATTTTCATATCACTCCCCCAAAAAAGTAGTGCTAATAAAATTCAGAAACCACAAATCAAGCCAAGAAAAAGCCCATCATAAAAAAAAAACCCTATGAGGCATCAAATGCATTGTAAACTCTAGATCTCTTCCATAATTAAGCTAAGAATATCATTTATATAGGAAATGGATACAGGGTCTTAACAATATTTTTACAAGCATAAACAAATATAAGAAAAAGGCATCAAATTCAGAAAAATACGAAAAAATTTACCACTCCCAACGATTCATACCACCACTGATTGCCACAGTTCATCAAGACTTGATGTCTCTAATGTTTCTGGCACAGCCTGTAATGACCTCACAGCCTCTGTGATAAGGGTTTGCCTGACCAGTAGCCCTACAGTTATAGTATGAAGCCCCAGGTCTATCACAAGGCACCATGTCTTTCTTCAACGTGTCGTAGCTTATATACTTCTTCTGCATCACCAGAACCCTCCTATTACTCTCCGAATCCATCTCCACCTCCATCTCCCCCTCCGCCGCCGCCTCCATTCCCGCGCATTTCCCCATCTTTCCGGCACAGAACCTCCTCTCCATCACACCCAATCCACTGGTTTTCATTGAATTGAGCCCCAAAAATGAAACCCCATCACAGATTGTGAGATGGGTGTGCAGGAAAACCAATGCCAAGAAAAGGGTAGTCATTGGGTTGAAATGGGTTTTGGGCATTTTTGTTTGTTGATTTCTCTTGAGAGTTATGTGGGTTTTGTGGACGGTGGAAGTGAGATTTGAGTGATGTGCAGTGTGAAGAGAGAGGAGAGATGGAGTAATAAATACGGTGAGAGTGAGAGTCACAGACTCACCTACTAGACTACTCATGGTGTGTTGTGATTGAAAGAGGATGGTGACCCACCACCATCTTGGAATTTTTATGACTGGGCTTTGTCATGAATCAACAAAGTGTAGCATGTGATTTGCCTCTCTGTGTGGGAATCAATTTTTTCATTACAAAGAGAAAATACAAGGAAGAGTAAATGACTCCGAGTGAATGAGTGAGAAATAGTACATTCCTTCATGTCAAAAAGTTATGCTACTTGTGTTTGGTTCAATTTTTTTACAACAGTTATTTATTTATTTTTATTTTCATTTTTAAATTTTTTTTCGGTAAAAATGAAATTTTGAAAATAGTACGGAATATAAATTTATATTTCTTTTCATTAGTAATTTTTTAAATTTTATTTTCTAAAAAAATATTTTTGATTTTTTTTTTTTCAAAAGGAACTACTATAAAGAATATTTTTTAGAACTGTTTTTAAGGAAAACACCATGACCTAACCTTTCACACTATCATCATCTTGATATTTTTAAAATTTTTTTATTTGGATTTTGCTTTTAAGACCAACCAAATAATCAAAGGGAAGAACCATTTTTGGCCATTTGATACATACATACTAGTAGGACCCATGAAAATCCATGAAAATCGTTTTATATTGATTAAAAAAAAAAAACGAAGAAAATCAAAAATAAAAATTGGTCAGTCTATGAGCACTTTCCTATAGAAAAAGAAAACAAAGAAAAGGAAACAAAAAAATTGATTTCATTATCCCCTGTTCCATCAAACAATTTGTGTGGATTACATTATTCACTACATGAGTGTATAACCATTAAAAATGTTAGGTAAATAGTACATATCCTTTGTGCATTTGTAACACACATGACACAACTCCCCCATGTCTTTCCATAATTTCGTTCAACATATTTTTCATCTTCCCTCCATTTAATTCACAAATTTAGTTAGGCCATAGAAAAGGCAATATAAATAAAAAATATATTTTTTGTTCAATTATTATAAAAGATAAAGAAAAATAAAATATGTGACAAAATAATGGAGAAATAGTTATTTTTACATGTCATTTTTCTTTTTTTCCTATCATTCCTGACTGCTTTTAAAAAATAATAATCTCTGATCCTATTTACACATTAGAGAAAAATGAGTACCAACAATACAGCCTTAAGACACACGTATGTTTGTGAAAGTTTGAATCTACTACACATCATTGAAACCGTAATATAAAAAGAAGAGAGAGAAAATTCAACTAAATTTTTGCTCAGAACATATTTAAAAAAAAATTCTCGACAGTGACAGTATATATGCGGATAAAATGATTCTCTAAATATAGAGCATAATATATATATTTTTGACCTTTTCCCCTCTTGTTTTATTTCCAAAACGTGTTACAAGAGAAATCAAAATTATATATATATATATTGGATAACAAGTGCCTCAAAAATGAAATTGGATGGAAGTTTATGGTTCAAGTCTTATGTTATTTTCTAAAAAAATATGAATAAATAATATATGAAATAAGCTAGAGCTGTAAAGCAATAGATGTTCGGCTATATAGGTATGAACACATTGCCAGTTCCTTCTCTGGGATAAATCAGGCAATGATTTTGTCTGTTGTCACCTACCACCATAGACTTTTGCTCATCACAATGACACTTCACAAGGAAAAAGAAATAGATTTGAAGAGGTACATGGCCATGAATAATATAGCAAGAGAACAACGATTTCAACTGGAGTGACCACACATGAATCAATTCCTCAGTGTAAAGCAAAACTGGACCTGCTACAAAACTTAAGGCAACATAATTTGCATATAATACTATCACAGACCTAGAGTTCATACTCCACTCTAGCTACATCCCAAGTCACACAAAGCGGGATTGAGATCGGATCGAGCGTGAGCATGAAAGCAGCAAAATCTAAGTCACACAGAGTGGAGTGGGAGCAAGAGCGGCACCCCTTTAGAAGAATTGTGTGACTTAGGCCGCATCCCTGTAGACCTGAATACACGCAGTGCACACGAGCTTCTTCAGGTAACTCATGATATCATAATAAAAAACCTTGTAACCAACCTTTCTGCATCCAGTGTGATTCAAACAACTTAATGTTCAACCAAACAATAATCAAGATAGCATCAAGGATTCCCAAATCAAGGTTTTCATTTCGTTCCAGAAGATTCAAGATATAGACTTGAGACACCCTTGAGGAAGGAGGGGAAGGGGAAGAAGATCTAGAGGAAAGTGATTTCCTTCATATATTCTCTCTATCTTAAACAAAATCTCAAGAATGGTTACAAACTACAAAAACACGGAAACAAAACATAAAATTAGACCCTTCTCACTTGTTTTCTGTGGAGACCAAACAAGAGGAAAATATTTCCTATAAATTGTTCTTTTCATCCCGCAACTGAAACTGCAAACCAAACACCCACAAAATACCGTCAGGTAACTAGGTAAGTGAACTTGACAGGTCTTTACATTTCACAGTTTACTGTAAGATAATTTGACAAGTTCAAGAGATCAGACATTTTAGGAAACTGAACTGTGTCATCATCATCTATCCTGCCACACAACACCTCATTTTGCTCAAAAGCATTTTGGAATTGAACTAGCCTTGGTGTGACACAACAGCAGATTGACACCCTGCTCAAGCAGGGCATATTGAGAATGATAACTGTAACCTGATAGAGAACAATTCAAATAGAAAGAAAATATATATTTTCCTAGTTGGTACTCACACACACGTCTCTTGTGACACTTGAACCACTAACTTCCCTTTGGGAGGAAAGAGGCCGATACCGCTAGGCCATTGACCCGTTGGTTATATATATATATATATATATATTTAACATGCAGTGCATGCAAACAACATAAGGGGATAGAACATCAATTACCCAAAAACCTGCAGAGATGCATGTACACGGTTTCAGTTTAATTTGCTTGAATCAACTTTCTTTTCACCCAGCACCACGCACAATATCCCTAAGATGATCATGATATTGATTTGAAGGTAATAAAGCAGTCACGATTTCAAGGGTAAAATACACGTACTTCAACAACAGTTCACCTGGCTTGCATTTCTAGATAATAGCCTTGCGTGAAGTTGAATATATAATCGAGCCCATAATAAAATAGCATAGACCTGTTCCCAGAAAATGGAGAAGAAGTGCACTAAACAAAAGTAACCTCAGCAGGCAGATCAACTAATCCTCTTTCAACTCTTCAAAAAATTATTTATGAGACAAAAGACACTTTATTTCACAGCATGCATCAATGCTACAAAGTTAATGCATTTATTTTAGAAGAATGGCCCTCAAATAACCATAAAATTTAATCAGCAACCATCAAACTTTGGCACATCAACTCATCTCACTTGAACTACATATAAGAGGTCTCATGTCAAGCCTTTAAAACACATGATTAATCAGATGTGTATCTTACAGCACCTGGCAAGGACATTGGATAAGCCTTTAAAATTGTCACAAGGTTCCACCGCAACTTTGGTGCTCAAAGAGTGAGATGCTTCAATTTCTCTGCAGTGGGTGTTCCAAGGCCTGATCTTCTATTCTCTTGGTCTTCAGAGAGGCTTGCCCTGAAATTAGAGCTTGCCTCTTCAATGTCTGAAGAGCCCGGTCTTTCAGTCAGGAACTGTTCCCAGAACACATCATTCACTCGGACCTGAGCAATTGCAGGTCCTTGATTGTTGGTTGGTACCTCTTTCAAGGACAACATAGTCTTGTCTTCGTTAAAAGAGGTTCTGTTCTTCGAGGAAACTCTAATATTACCCTCTTTACCAGAGGCGCTAGAACTTGGCCCGGGAGAAGGACTAATTTCCAGACCTAATTGGGGCATCGTAGCTGAATAGTGACTTTTCTCCACTTGCAATGCAGAAGATGATAGAGTAAGATTTAAATGACAGGAGATATTACCATCACCTTCTTCATTAGAAGTCAAAATTTGCTGCAAAGAATGCAATCCTGGGCTTTTGTCGACTCCTGCTCTACAAGATAAAGATGACTCCATCCCAAATTCAAAAGATGTCCCGGTATCTGAAAGCTCTAATGTTTCAGGGGCAAATTGAAGACCACCAGTAGTCGTCTGTGCATCTTTTACGTATCCTTCAGACATTCTCCTATGCAGACTTTCCCCATCTTCATTGGAACTCTGTGCACTGTGTGAGACCAAGTTCATATCTGAAACTGCTGGTGATAACTCTAGTCTGAGTTTATTTGAAAAATCTTGGTGGGAAATATTCCCAAGCTCGTGTCCAGAGCTACTATGGTTGTCCATAAAACTATCTGCAGAAACTGGCTGAGAAAGACTATCTTGAGGTTTTCGCCTCTTCTTATTAAATGCTGAGAAATCCACAGATTCAAGTTTTCGAGCAAGACGTTCAACAAAATTACGGTCCTGAATTGCTTTTTCTAAGAAGGTCAGCAATTTCTCCTGTCTCTGCTCCATACCACCTACTCGCTGAGTTAGGTTTTCCAACTGCCCCTTTGCAGCAGATTGCTGCTGTTTGAAATTGAAAACATTCACCTCAAGTGCAGCTTTCTCGCGTGAAAGCCTATCAATTTCTTCATCAAATGCCGCTCTTTCCGGATCGACTGAAGAACCCTGAGGCTGGCTATGGCTGTGGATAGGTTTTCTGCGATGGATATTTCTAAGAAGATGCTTTTGATCTTTTACAAAGTCTTCATTTGCGAATTCCCATTTTTCAGGATCAATCTTCCGAAATCCCTATGAGAAAGACACATCCATTTGACTTCATTAACTCAGTCAAATTACATATAGCAATAATAGTTCCTGGGGGAAGTCTGTAAACATTTTATTGAATGATGAGAGGATTTGAGTCAATAAAAAGTTATTTCTATTTTTTTTCTCCTAGTTTAAAAGGATGTTGTATTCCATTCTACCTCCAAAGAACCATGTTAGGAAAAAAAAAAAAATTGGAATCAAGAAAATCCAAACCATTTACATCAAGGCTCAAAATTTTTTTTTCAACGTAAAACAATTTAAGAATAACATTTTTCACATTTTCTTGTGTTTGGTTGCACATAAAAACAGTAAGACATTTCACTGCCTTCTGACAAACTGACTTACGGATCCAAAGTCCATGAGTCATTTTATGCTCTTGTACACCAATTTGTTTGTTTCAGGCTCCCATCTCACTCCCACCAATCACTGTACTGATGACAATCACCGCCATATCAATCTCTCCAACAACCAGATTGATCGCTCCAAACACCATTCTAGTGACAACCACCACCAGATCGACCCAACATTGATCAATCGCTCCGCCACCACACCGCACCTCAAAAATGCTCGAGTGCCTAGCTCCTGAAGTATCTTTAACGCCACTGCATCCCTTCAACCTTGAAGACCTAAAAATCTGTAATCACCATCATTAAGGGGGACAGATCAAATAGCAAGCCTTAAGCCCCCCGTTGGCATTCAGGGAGTTGGAAGGAAAAGAGAATACTGGAAATCGAAGGATAAGGATACTTTATTTCGTGTTTGGTTTAAATTTGTAGAAGGAAAAGGGAGGATTTGGAGGGATAGCTTAACACTCTTAACAGTAGATTTTGTATCATCCCAAAAGTGGGATGAAATGGAAGTAAAGGATAAATAATCTTAAGTGAAACTTCTATAATATCGAAATTACCCTTAAAGTTTATACTGATGAAGAACAAAAATCAAATTACATCTCAATCCCAGGGCATTCCTTTTACATCTCAACCCTTAAACTGGTGAAGACAAAAATCAAAACCCTTTCAAATGTAATGGTAGAAGTACAAGTATTACATACAAAAAGAATATATATATATTAGTATATTTTTACCCAAAAAAAACTCTCATGGTCATGGATAATAGATATATGTATATACGCACAACATATACTTTAATGGGTTATGACTTATGACTAATACAAGGGCTAGCCTAGTGCAAAAGACCTCCCGCAAGTGCAGGGTTTAGGGATGAACAAACATACGCAACCTTACCTGTGCATGAGGAGAGATTGTTTCTCGTTTCATCTAACAGACAAATTTTAGTATTAAAACAAGGGGATGCTCATCTGGTGAAAATAATCAAAATATTAGTTTGTAAATGTATATAACTTTATAAGATATGGCATATAGTGATAGTGGAAAAATAACTAACCAACCTTAAATTTTCTACTTTAAATATAAAGGGACGTAATGGTAATTTTGTTAAGATACTTTCCTCTCTTTTCTCCCTCCAAACACGAGCATGAGTTAAGTCTATCATTTCCTTTCCTTTCCTTTCCCTATTTTTTTATCCAAACATGATAAAAGGATTATACTATCATTTCCTTTCTTTTCTTTTTCCCCTCAAATTTTTTTTTTTTTCTAGGTAAGAACTTTTTCCCTCATAATTAATGTGTCATCGCTTGTTTTATTTTCCCTCTTACTTTATCCATACGGCTCCTAAGGGTCAGATTGATAATTAGCCAGGAACCATAAGAAAATTTGACGAGTGATGAATGATTGGTACGTCAATTTGTTGACTTGTATATCAACCATTTTAACCGAATGTAGTCATGCTTGTGTTAAACTATCCTTAGTCAAGGTAGAATGTTGACACCAGTTTTTGAGCCCGTGCATGGGCCTTTAAACACTGGCCTGAATTGTCTTCTCTTTTCATTTTCAATTTTCTTTTTCAAGATTAAGTTCTTCTTCTGTAACCTAAACTAAGCCATGAAGTTATCTATCTCCCTTTAGTAAATGAAGAAGTAATGTACGCAGTTTTGTCAACAACTATCAAATTAGAAGTGCAACTCTTCTTCTTTAATGGCATTTATCTACCCAACTTCCACTCGAATGCTCAAAACTTCACTAAATGTTGAGAAAAGAAATTCAGACAAGACATTTTCATCCCTCTCTCCGCTTCCGTCTTGCTATCATTCAATCCTCCACTTAAACTCCTCTTTATTCGTCCTTACAAAACCTATATCAAATTCTAATTTTTAACCTTATCTACTTAAATGAATATTATCCTCTGTCTTTGTATTACTTGGACCAAAAATTCCTGTAGGTCTCACGAATGAGAACTTTAATAGATCAGGTTTGTGCCATAGTCTCCCCCGATTGTCAGAAGAAATAGTAAATTGATAAACTAGAAATGCCAATTTGATATGTGAAATTAATACATTGGAAATGAAGGCAATATGGAACTTTTCCAGAAAATTTTTTTTTTTAATAAAAAAAAACAGATAATATTGTGAAAATTCATGCCTTAACAAAAACAACATTTCTAAAAATTCTATGAAAAATAGTAGCTGTTTAGCAGCAGAGAATAAAAAATGATTTTCCTCCAATTCAGCTTTTTTTTTTTTTTTTTTTTTTTTTTTTTTTTTTTTTTTAAATCTAAAGAATAATCTATAGTTCGATTTTATTTGCCCAAAAAATTATCAGAAGAAGAAACACTAAGCATGAATGTTCTATTCAACTCTCTCTCACACACAAAGGGAATGACTTACATAAGTATTTAGCTGTCTGATGAAGCTTGAGAAATTGTTGTGCTTGAAATAGGAGGGAAGGAGAAGACGAGCGAACTCAGGAGGGTTCCACACAACGAAGCTGTTCATTTTGGAACCCCACGACACGATTTCGTCCGTCGATGAATCCTCGACCATCTCGTACGTCTTCAACAGGAACGGCGCCGGACCACCGCCGCCGCCTGCCGCTGGAACTCCGTCCATTTCGTGTAGATTGTGAAGAATTGGTGTTGGTGGATTTGAACTTTATTTGGGAGATCAGAATAGTCAAGGTCTTCCATTAGAGAGAGAGATGATTCGTCTTCGGGGGCAACTTCTTCGTAGCTTCGGACGGATCACCTGCAATTTACTTGGTATTCGGTGCGGGTCACCGAATCATAGCAATTTCCGATTTTCAGATACAATAATAATAATAATAACAATAATAATAATAATAATAATAAAGACCACAAGAAGAAGGAAGTCAAAATGGTTTTTATCTCTCTTACGAGAAAATTAAAAATAATACTAATAGTTATAACAATTTATTGAGAATTTTCATTTTTAATTTTATTTTTTAAATTCTTTAAATTTGTTTTCAAATAACTGAGCCAGCCAAACCATTAGGCATATTTTGAACTTTGTAATCCAAAAGTTTTCAAAACATTAATAAATATTGGTTTCTATATAATATTGTAACTTTTAGAAAAACTGTCTACTAATTTAAAATTTAAATTTGTGTATGTTTATTACTTCATATTTCATAGGCAAAGTAAAAAGATTTGTTACTAATTGTGCTTTTTTATCAGCTTAAAATATGTCATTTGTGAATTGTGACAAGTTATTTGTATTTTTTTTCTTAATTAAAATGTGTTAATTTAAAGGTGTACTTAATTGACTGCACCTTATAACAAACTTACTGTTTTTAGAAAAGTGCCCGTGGTGAATTCACTCGCATCATATACTTGGTCTTACATTTTCATCAACAAAATCACTATACACCTTCAAGCCACATTAATTTGTTTACATTAGAGAACATTTTAAAAAGTTTTTTTAACAATCTCAAATAACTTTAACAATCGAAGCCTTTTACCCTTGTGACCCTCTTGTTACGAGTAATTTGGATTATATAATTCTTGTACCTTTTACGTCATAGAATGTTCTTATTTAGATTCAGTTAATTTGAATGTAAAATACATATATATTTTATTTGGTTTTGGTTGTCCAAAATTTAAGTAAAATATTTTATTAAATCATAACAAAAATAGTTAAGAATTATTTTATGAAGGATATTTGCCAAACATAAAAAAAATTAAAAATAAAAAGTTATCTGCTTGACGGGTGAGTCTTGCAGTCAAGCTCTCTTTTCACTCGAGGGCCAATGAATTTAAGTTCTTAGATGGGCAACACTTAATTCATATTAACTCCCAATACCATTATTGGATATTAGATAGGCTAACACCAACACATATAATACTGATTTATTTTCCCATACGCAATGTGGTAGTGTGGAACAAGTCTATCTTGTAAAATAAAAAAGAAAAAAAAAAAAGGGGTCTATCTTGTAACAACAATCCATTTTGTGACCGGACCGCTTTACCCACAACTCCAAGGGCGATCCGTTAAATTCTCACAAACAACGAAGGGCGATTATGTCATTCCAACTCTAGAGAGAGACAGAGGGAGAGCGTTGTTCTTACATTATCGCTCGAAAAATCCCTTCTCGTCCTCGACCTTTCCGCTAAATATTTGCCGGCGACTCTCCGATTTCCCGTGAAACCCTAGCTGCCGGCAGGAGAATTTTTTGTCTGCTTCACCGTAGTAAGTCCTTGAATTAGGCAATACAGAGCCATCAAGAGTAGTAAGTCCTTGGTTTCTCTCTCTTTTAGTAGATATAATAATAATAGGGTTTGTCCAATCGAATTTATTATGTTTTTTTATTTCTTTAATTTTTTTTGGGATTTAGGTCTAATTTTATTCCATTTAATGGGTTTATTGCATATTTTATGTCGAAATTTGATTTGAAATATGGACCTCGTCGAATTTCACAGTTCCTAATGTTTTTGTTCCACTCTTTTAGACTTTTAGATCCATTGACATATCAATTTAGTATTAATTGAGTGCTATATATGTATATATATATATATATATATATATATATATATATATATTGATGAGCATGTTTCGTGCCTGCCCAATATGGACCTAAGTAAACACAAGCTCTATGGAACCAGTTATGTGCATGTCATTCGTGTGCTTGGCTGATTGTCGTTTTGGAAAAAATGGGTGTTAAGTGTTGGTTTTGTTGATGGCTAGAAGCACCAACCCAGGCGTTTTATATATAGGACCTATAGGTTGCTAGGTCAATAAAACTTAGGTGTGCCGAACATGTATCTAAGAGTGTCCGAGAAGCGTAGGCGTTCAACATGTTTCCAACATGAACGCAATAGAAGTGTCCTTGTTTCGTAGGCATTGACTATGGTAGAGAGCCACAGATAACAGGGATTTGTGATTCAGAGCTGAAATCGACGATGTATGCATGAGCAAATTAAAATCATATCCATTGCTACTCCCCCTCTTCCGCCACTATTTGCATATGCATGTATAAATAGAGAGAGATAGAGATACGCGATTGACGTCGAAGAAACGGGTCAGTCCTGTCGAGTTTCCTAAGCTATCAAGTTGAAGATGCGAGGAGAGACTTGTAACTCACGCTTGTCAGCCCGGTCAGGATATTGATTTCGAATGAGTACAGCTTACAATGCAGGCCATGTTCTTACTTTTATTTTCAAGATTTTTGAGGGTAGATTGGATTAGGATTCTTTACCCAAAAATCATGTTTAGTCTATTGATCCACCCTTCATGATCAGTGGAACCTTTTTTTTTTTTTTTTTTGCCTTTTCCTATGTTTTTCCTTCATAATGAATAGTAAACTACCAGCTAGCATTCTCTTCTCCTTAGATTTCTGCTCATCTCCTCTTTGAATTAAGATGCAGAGAGAGGATATGAAACACGCGGGTTTATCCTTTCTCAAGTAGGTTTTTTAATAGATAACAACATGGTTCTCACAGTTTTAACAAAAGTACTCTAGTTTTATAAACTATCTATTATATATATGTAATATTATTTAAGCAAAATTTTATCATTTGTTTTCATCTCGACTTATTTAAGACATTACATTTAAATATTGAAATACCCCAGCTGAATTAACTAAAGAAGTGAAGTACTAAGATTCTGTTTTAAGTACTTTATAAATAAACACGGGTACTTTGTTGTTATTTATTTATTTGTTTTTGCATCTTTTGTTTCTATATTTTTGTGATACTTTTGTGTGTGGTATACAAACATTTAAATATTTTTTTTATACTAATTAGAAAGATTCGACATGATTGATTGCTGCAGGTTTGGGGCGGCTAAAAGTTACGTACCTTGGAAAGCTTCAGAGAGCTATGAATTTATTTTTCATTATTGTCTAACAAGAATGCCAGGCATACCTTTAGTGGCTCGCGAAACCATGTATATTCTCTTCTGTGTCATCTTACTTCTGTTCAACTAAGCTGTATTAAATGTACGATGAAGGCCTCAACTACCGCGGGGGGTGGGGGTGGGGTTGATTTTGTACTTTTTCCCTGTAATAATAAAAAAACAAAAAAAGGGATATCTCCGTGTGTGTGCGTGTCGGGTTGATTCTAATATTTCCTTCTTCATATTCACTGTTTGCACTTTATTTATTTATTTTTCCCCAAATCAATTATGCGTACCCTTATTTGATCTTTGAGAGTTATATTATGTTAGAATGTAATTGTACGTTACATGCAAATTGCAGAATGACAATTGAAGTATAAATTGATATCTCCATTGCATTCCATTTCATTGAATGGAATTCTGTTTGCAATTGCAGCTACTCTAGAATTGGAGATCAGATGTGTCGCCCAGATTCTAGTGTACATTTATCTGCGGAAGAGGAAATTGAAGCTGAGGAGAGCCTTTCAGTTTATTGCAAGCCTGTAGAACTTTACAACATCCTTCAACGCCGTGCTATTAGAAATGTAATATACTTTAGAAGCAAAATTTTCCTAATTTTGCTGCTTCTGATTTTGTATGGTCGCTCTATGTGGATGGTCTAGCAAAATTTTCTACAAGCATTATAACTGCATTATTACTGAAAGGCAGGTACCAGGCATTTGTTGGTGTACAGAAGTGTGTCAATGTCCATTGAAATGTAGTGGTTGACACAGGACACCTTTTACTAATTAACTCACATTTTTTTAGCCATGCACTTTTCCATCATTATTCACTGTTCCACATTAGTTGTTGGACTAAAATGAAGGCCCTGATGCTATAGATACCAGAAACATGTAAATTTCATTCTTGAGGATGGAGTATTCAAAGTATAAATACTTTTTTTATTTTTATATTTTATATTTCTAAATACTTTTTTTGTTTTTATAATTTATATTTCTAACTGAAGGTAAATTCTTATGTAGCCATCATTTCTTCAAAGATGTTTGCATTACAAAATTCAAGCAAAGCACAAAAAGAGGTAATGGTTCTGAAACTAATATATTACGATATCTGTTTATTCTCTATAATTTGATACATGCTTAAGGGTTGTCAGAGTTATTGATATCTCAAAATATTCAGTACTATATATATCACACGAAACATTCAGCATGAAAAATTAAAATGGGTTGCTAATGCATAATGCATCCTGACTTTACCTAACCCATTATGATACCAAAGAAACGTTACACATTTGAAACTTTATATGTAAAAATTTCTCGTTTTCTTTTTGTCTTTCCCAAGTGTTTTACTAACCAAGATCGTTTTATAATACATTAGCCTTAATGATGAGATGGCTAGTTGTGTTAAAAGAGTCACAAAGAAGTACATGTTGAATCTAAGGAGAGGGGACCTATCATCTCACAAAACTTGTGGTGGTGGAAGAGGTTGGGAGATAAATTAGAACAAAAAGAGCCTTTTATAGAACTTTACGTACATGTAAGGCATAAATCAGCTAAAATGGCAGTATGGAGTGTTGAACATAAGGCTTATGATGATCTATATAAGTTAAAAGATGGTTAGAAAAATATATAAGCTGAAATGACTGCTTGTAGTCCATTTGCTCCATGATATTAGCCCTTGCAAGTTCAATCGCTTCTCACGATGGTGTCGGGCCTCTTAGAGCACTTCACAATCAACCACTGGGGTTGACTGTGAATGTTACTGATTACATCTCTAGGGGAAAGAATCTTTCTGTCTGCCTTTTTTATCTTTTTTTTTTTGTTTGCTGTGTGCTAGTCAAATTCTTGAAATGAACAAATCTACCCTCTGCAATACAAGCAACACTCTATATACATTTTGTGTTAAGCCAGCAGCTGACACCCTAGTCTTACTATTTGTTATAAGGAACAAGAAACAAACAACTACAACTTGCCAACTCTGAAATTTTACGCACTTCTCCACTGAACTCAGTCCACAGTTATTACTTAACAGACTTGCAATATATGAATATTTCTTTCCTTCAGCCGGACCAGTCCACCTTTCACTCCTTAGGTGTATACAGCATAATCCTTCTTCATTATAATTGTTTTCAAATGTCTTGTCATTACTTCCTTTCTGTGCCCGAAGTTTTTCAGTATATGGCTGTCATTGTCTACTGAACAATAGTCAACTCAGTCAACAGAGCCTTTTCCCAAACTATATCCAGACCATGTAATTGTTTTTTCATTGTCTACTGAACAATATCCTTAGAATATCATTATTAGTTATTTTTCATTATATCCCTAAATAGATCCAAAGATTTTCATCATGTGGTCCTTTAATTTCATTATTTTCATTAAGTATTTAAGTTTCTAGGATCTGACAATGATTGTTGTTGGTTACATGTATAGCATACAATTGAACATCATTTTTAGGATACTCATTGGGTTTGAATTTGTAGGATACAGATGACAATTTCCTTGTCAGGGAGTATGAATGATGGAGTACAAACTCAAAGACTGTTTCCTGTCTATGTATTGTTGGCCAAGCCAGTTTCCAGTGTTTTGGTTGCAGAGGTAGTAATGTTTTCTGCTTTTGCTATATCAGTCCATCCCATTTGCTTTTTTTAGAGTTTTTGTTCTTCTTTTTCTGATTTCATTTGGGGACAGCATTCTGCAGTTTATCACTTCAGTCGAGCATGTATGTTGACTAGTTATGCTGGAACAGAAGGGATGAATCGAGCTCAAGCAAATTTTATTCTACCTGATATAAAGAAGCTAGCAGCTGAGATCAAATCTGGCTCTCTTGCTATCTTGTTTGTCAGCTTTGGTATCCGTTAATGCGTATATTTTGATTAATTTGTTTGGATTTATTTATGCTGTGTGTTCCATTAGCTTGTGGCTGTTCTATCTGTTTGCAGCTGAAATTACAAATTCTTTGCATGGACCTGATACCAAGGACCATATGGATATGACATCTTTTCCTTGTAAGATGTGCTTCAGTTGGAAAATTCCTTCTTCTTTTTTTGTTTTGTTTTGTTTTCTTTGTGGAATGGCCACTTGGTATATGTCATGAATTGTTTTTTTTGATAAGTAAAATATATTAGAAAAGCGTTCAAAAGGGGAACGCGTCCCTAATACAGAAGAACAAAAACCCTAAGGTATATGTCATGAATTACCACATTGAAGTCCAATTCTTGAATCCCATGAGTCATCACTTCCAAGTTATGTAAAATCCAATGCTAAATGAAAATGCAGCAAGGAGGATATTTTCAAGTGTGTTTTATAATTTCATGAACTCCTAATAAATCCTAACAAATTTTTTAATTATTTTCATTTCAATGAAATTTAATATTTTAAATACTTGAAAAAAAATGGTTTTCTATTTATAAGAATTCCTCAAATTTCCAGAATTGATTGTTCTTATTAGAAACCACTGTGAATTTGTGATGCATTTGTATCTTGGTGGATATTTAAAGCTTTACAGTACAAAATAGATGATTTATAGTCACATTATGAGTGCAACCTTTTTTATTTTATTTTACAATTATCATATGCCTGTTACCTTTCAAGTGAGATTTGTTTCACAAGTGCATGCACGTTTTTGAGGGTAGCCTTTGATGTTGTATGTCTGAGTGCTTTTATTATTCTTCTCTATTGATTTAACTGTAAATTTATGAGACCTGAACAACTCTAAAAACACATCTTCAGTTCGCCTTCGCTACCTCTATTAGACCATGTTCTCTTTGATATGAAAAATAGTATGTGATTTTTGGGTTTTATGAAATATGTCACATCCAATACTTACAAAAAAAAAAAAGAGTCAGACTCAATAGACATGCATCGAGCAGTAGAGCATTGTTGGCACAGCTTGTTTTGTCTGCAATTTTGCCACTTCAAGAATAGATCATGTGTACAAGAGTTGTGCATCCCTTCTGGACCCTTTTGGCGCTCTCTAGTGATATTTCTTATTAAATAATACTTCATTTTCCATAGTTTTGGGTGCACATATTTGTTTTAAATCTTAACCTTACGTGAGGGAAGGGGCTTAAATTATATGCTCAATTATTATTGAATCATATGTGGGAGGAGGGAGTGGGGGCATGAGATCATATGGTTAAGTGTCATTGAGTCATATTTGTTGAAGTCTTATGCTTTGTTTGGTTGGTTGGAAGGAAGGAGGAGGGAGTGAGGGGGCATGAAATCATATGGTTAAGTGTCATTGAATCATATTTGTTGAAGTCTTATGCTTTGTTTGGTTGGAAGGAAGGAGGAAGGAAGGAAGAAGGATGGAAGAAATGAAGGAAGGAGCATGGTTCCACTGTTTGGTTGAAAGGGAAGAGAGAGGGGAAGAAAGGCCCCACCTTTTTTCATTCCTCCAAAAAGGTTGAAATAGAGGAGGGAAAGAAGGAATAATTGTTTCATTAATATGAAATAATGTTTCTACCTATCAAAAAAAAAAAAAAAAATGAAAAAATTTTAAATAGCTAATGAAACAATTATTCCTTCTTTCCCTTCACTTCCCTTCCCTTCCACTCAACCAAACAAAAGGATGGGTGGGTACCCTCCCTTCACTAGGAATGCCTCTTTTATCCTTCCTCCTATCCCTTCCCTCCATTTTTCCTTCCTTCTTATCATATGAAACATTAAGCTGACGTGAGGGAGGGCCTTGAAATCATATGCTTAAATGACATTGAATCATATGTGTAGGAGGGTTAACGAGGGGAAAAATATATGGTGGAGTATCATTAGATCATGTGTGTTTTAAGTTTTAAGATGACATGAACATTGAATTTTATGGTTGATTGGGAGCCGTAGTGATAGCGCACTAGCTTTTTTATGTTACTTTATTTTATTTTTTTCCCTTTATTAGTGCTTTGTTCTAACTATAAATTGCCAAGGTTGTTAGAATCAGGATTCTACGTAGGATCGATGAGGGGTCCATAGGATCGGAATCGTAGGATTGGATCGAGAATCGTAAGATTCTATAAAACTATTAAAAAAGTAACTCAAACTAACTTTCTAAATTATTTTTGATATAAGTAGAGAATAAGGCTAAATAACCAAATTAGACACTCTAGGAAAATTAATTAACATTAAAAGATACTAAGACACATGACAAACACTTAAAAATCAGTTTCTTGATTTCAACAAAAAATCAGCATAGCAATCAAGCAAAATCTCAGAGAAAAAATTAAAGTAAAGTCTAGTAGAGAGAGAAAAGTACAATTTAGTTGCCTAATTGTGAGCAATTTAGTTGAAAAGTTTACTTTTTGGTTAAAACAAGGAACAAAACAGAGATAGAAAGAACAACGGAAAAAAAATGAAGTGTTTCAGAATTGACAAAGAATGGGTGGAAAAATAAAATTAGGCTAAAGAGTTGGACTTTATATTTAAAATGATTAAATTTATTAGTCCAAAATAAATTGTAGGCTCAAATAAATCCGGAAGAAGAAAAAAATAACACGATTTAGTAGAATCGGTAGAATCGTAAGATCCTATGCAATTCTACGATCCTACTTCCAATTCTACAGATCCTATTGAAATTCTAGTAGCTAGAGATTTTGGATGGGATCAGGATCGGTTTAGCAATTTGGGATAGTAGAATCGTAAGATTCTAAGATCTAGAATCGGGATTTTAAAAACTATGATAAATTCATTACAGATTTTGGATGGTACTAAGAACTTATTTTAGCGTTATTAATTATCTCCTTTCCTCTGACTTAATATTTGTTGTCAGTTGTATTTTCACCTCTTGTTGAATGTATAGAGTGCAGTATGAATTTGAATGTATAGAGTGCAGTATGAATTTGAATGTCCTTTCTTTTCTTCAAGCAAAAAACGAAAAAGATTCTATCCTTATTTCATTCTATGTATGCATCACAGCAAATGTTGGAGGATATTGCTTATTGGGTAAGATACCAATGGAATTACTTTACTCTTCATGGGAGAAGTCTCCAAACTTGAGTTTGGGGGAGCGAGTGGAGATGATGTTATCTGTTGATATGCACTCCTGCTTTGTGAAGGTATGCTTCAATAGGAAAATTACTATTTAACTATCTGCACACATCTAATTAGGATATTGGCATGGTATGCGGATACTTAACTTCTCCATCTGGAATAATTGATTTTAATAAAGGGATTATTCTGGAATTGATATCTCGGATGATGATTTTTCAGCCATTTTTTTTCTCGAACAGACCCTTTGTTTTGATTTTTAAATAGTTACCACAAGGAATGATAATGTGGTTGGATATTGTCTTCCTCATGCACGTGGAGACTTTCCAGCACATTGGACAAACGTGGTAGTTGTTTTATCACTATATGTAATCTCTGACAAACGTAGTAGCTGTTTTATCAGTATATGTAATCTTTTTGAAGTGGAATTTTGATACCAAAAATTTTATTTAGTGAAGCAGGTTTTTTGATTGGTTGTGATGAAGCATGTATGTGAATTACCATCCACTATTATTTAGTGTTGTGGAAGTGTTCAAATTTGTTGCTACAAATGGTAGAAAGTTCTCAATCTTTTGTCATAAAGTTGCATTGGTGATTGTTTAAACACTAACAACCAAATATAATTCTCAGCCTTCTGTTGTGCAAATGCAAAAAGAGAGATTTATATCTATAGAAAGTTTTTTAATGAGACCACACTGGGTAATGACCCTGTTAGAAGCTTTTTTGTATTTGGATCCTGCTTTAAACATTTTATAGCTTTGAGATTGCTCGGAACCTTGCGATTATTGGTACATAATTTAAATAATTTATTTATTTATTTCAAAACTTTGTCATTTTTGTAATTGAGTGAAACTATTCACGAAAAGCGCCAGTATAGCAATTTATATGCACATGAAGAAATAAAAAAATTAAAGTAAATTGAAAAAAAAAAAGAAAAGAAAACCCTGAACTTTGTTTTTGATTGCATCCCCCTAAACTTTATTTTTGGCAGTTAACACCTTCAACAATGGGAGATCCTTGGATGATGAGAAGAATCCTATTGCGGGCTGTGTTCCCCGTTTGAATGCTTTCTAATATAATCTTACTTATTAAAAAAGAAAAAGAAACCTTTTCAACAATCACGATTTTTGTGAGTGCCCCTCTGCCGTCACTGTGCTGTTAAAAAAGTATTGTTAATATATTATATGGTACAAGCGAGTCACGTGGCTTGTATATATTTCTTTAATTCCAAAATTATCCTTATCTTACCTGGTACACTCGACCTCATAAACTTTGTCTCACACATTTTCAATCAATAAAATTAGGACATGTCCCCACTGTTCTTCGAGTCTTTGATTGGAACCTTCCCCCTAACATTGCACATCCATTAACAGCCTGCATCTTGCTGTTTGAAATTTTGAATGAAGGCCTGTCTGGGCCATGAAGGTTATCTTATCAGAATGTGATTAATCAAGGCCCACCAACCCCCTCTTTTTGGTGGATGCTTCCTACTACTGTCTTTATCAAAGCCCATTGCGGCATTGCCCCACATGAGCCTCATCTTTACAGTTAGAAGCCTTAAGGGCAATATTATTACTATTTATTATTTATTTTTAAAGGAATCTGGTGTGTGTTATGACCTGTTCTATATTGTATGGTTCAACATAATGATAAGTGTTCGCTTATTAATTTGACGTCTAAACCAATGATATAAAAAGTTCTTGACCAAAGAATGAATGACTTTAAATTTTACTTCGGTTTATCATTTGGAGTTTTGTGTTCTTGGTTCATCCATTCTACTTCTCCTTCTTTCTTTTTTTCTTTTTTCCTTGTCATTACTATCGTTTGGGTTCCCTTTTGCAGTCGAGCTGCTTGGACGATGACAAATGTATTTCGTTTCAGATTCCCTGTAACTCTGGAACTGTGGTTTGTTCTGCCCCCAATGTTTATTTGATTCTGTTGGGATATTCAAGTTGAATTCTTCAATATTTTTCTGCTGGATAATAATAATTGTACGTTGATTACTGTTACCTTTTTACTGTTTGGGTTTCCAAAAGGGCATGTCAAAGCAAGTGCAAGTTGTCATTTTTGCAGAGGAGATTGGGGCAAAGGAAAAATCTCGCTATAACTCAGACTCATATAATGACATTCCTACTTCTTCACTGTCTAATATTATTCGGTAAATCTCTTTCTCTTTGTAACTATATATCTGCTTTTCATTTATTCTTTATGTGGTTGCCAATATTTAGTATACTTATAACTTCACTTCTGGAGACAGTTATGGTTATTTTTCTAATTAACATTTAATTATTTATAATATGTAGTTCCATCATGTCATGTGGACCAATGTAATTATGACAACTAGATCTTGAAGATCAAAGCACATGGCCACCTTTTAACTTGAGAATCCATCTCTTTCATAGTCCAGATATGGTGCTCATAACAACATGATGAACTCTGATGTATTCATCAAGATATATATGGCATCCTAGCTGCAGCATGTGGCCATTTATCCAAGCATTATTCCTGTGTATGTGATTTCTGGGATCTTCACTCCATCTTATCTGGGAAGTTCTTCAACCATTTTAGTCTCGACACTCAAGTGTTCAACACACTTTCTGTGTTTGAAGCAGTAGTCATGGAGCTCCTCAAGCTTGGTGAGAGACTATAATGTGCCCAAGACAAGGTTGTAATCCCACGTTTACTATATACCTCTTCTGTGGTGCATTGTGGCCGTGGCGACCATTGACTATAATGTGATTCTTTACACCTTGTTATATTTTGTTTGGTTATAAAGTGAGTGTACAGCATACTATGCTAAGATCCTCGTGATTATAGTGTAAACGAGGAGGTTTCATTACAGAAACCCCTTCGTTGGACACTTGGGATTAATAGACTTGGTTGCATAAGTCGAAATATGATCCCGAGCCACTAATGTTCATGTGATTCAAATATAGGTGAGGTACACATGATCAATAGCCTGGTCAACCATGGTTTTTCGACATCCTAGAAAGCCTCATCTCATGTAGCTTAACACCTAGATCTATAGGACCTCTTCTTGCACAAGACATCAATGGCAAAACAGATATATTTTCATTAATCTAAGTATGTGATGTTGTGGTCCGAATTTTGTTTCGGTCCGGGTCGCGCTTGTTTTATGACCTGTTTTTCTGCTTGCGGGTCTTGGACCTTGTTTAGGACTCTCTTGTAGCCCAATATATAAGGGCGTTAAGGGTTTGGGTTGTGTAACGATAGAACATTGAAAACTGAAGGAACGAGAGAGTGAGTGAGAGACCTAGGTTTTGAGGCCTAAAACTTGTAATCTCCTGATTTTTGCATAGTGAAATCTTTCGGTGTATCTTCACCGTGGACCAACCACGCAAGTCTTTGGGTTCTTTGTGTGTGTCATGTTTACTTTTCTATCACGATTCCTGATTTGTTCTTGGTTTGCTGCGACTGTTATAACAAAGTATTTACAGGGTTCTATTCTTCTTTTCAGTGACAATGTATTGTTTTACCATTCATGAGTTAGAAGTTCTGGCATTACTTGATGATGTACTCTCTAGAAGTGGTCAATTAATGCAATCTTATACAGGCTTACAAGGTCTGTTTTTATCCAGCTGAATAGCATGATAGTTGCTGTCATTGGCAGAATTTGGTATTTAGTGCCAAAGGCAATAAAAAGAGGCTGTATATGATTTCACCCATTCCCAAGCTGGTAACATGAACCAGTAGTTGAAAATATTTCCAGGAAAGAAACACAAGTCAATCACTTTGCTTGCTAGTGACTGGATTTTAAGTTAAATTCTCTACTGCGAAAGGAGGCACATACATTGTTTTGAACTCCACAGAAGTATTTGACTAGGTCATTTCTCCTATTAGCTTGACTTTTAAGTGCTTTAATAATACTGGGTGATGTAGGACAAGAACAGCCTTCGAATAGTTGAAACAAATAAGAGTTATGGCTAAAGTTCAAATGAACAGGATTGGGGTTCAAGAGGTGTTAGTAGATAGAAAGGATTTGAAAATAACAAAATAGCCTTTTGGAATCACACCAACAGGGTCTAGGCATCACACGTAGAAAAGGCGTCACACCCTCATATCTTGTGAATTACTCACAAAGAAAGTTCAAACACATTTTTATTCATTCATGGACTGAGTCACCAAGTTTACATTAAACCCTTCTTATAGCAACTTATGACCCTTAGATTACCCTATAATTGAGGTAATCAAAAGTTGACTCTAAAACATAATAAAAGTAACCAATAATGACTTTTCCAATTTGACCATAATTGATGCAATGTCCCATAATTATGCAATTTACCATAGCTATGCAATTTGACCAAACCCTCCAATTATGCAAGACTCCAAGCGGACCCCACATCCTCTAACATGCGCCTGATTAAGGCTTGAGCCTTAATGTCCTCCTTGCCACGCCTTTTATGCACTTTAAAAGGCTGTTGCCACTGTTCTCTACCACTGGGCCATTTGGATTTATTTTTCCTAGGACATTTCCTACGCCCAACCACGGATTGCGACTATAAATTTGTAATATTAGAAGGGTACTCCAATTTACTGCTCTGACAAGCATCAGGGAATATGCATGGAACCTACTCACGCTTCTTATAGAACCATTATGAGGGAATATGCATGGTACCTACTCATGCTTCTTATAGAACCATTATGAGGAAGCTTTTGGTTAAGTTTGGTGGTAAAGGTAGAGAAATTTTCACCTTGCCACGTTAGCTTCCAAGATTGTTGTCCTTGGAGATTCTGCAACCATCTAAATCATGGTTCAATCATGACGTGCATTGTAAATGTGATGTGGGCCTCAGAGATTACAACACATGCAATGTATTAATTCAACGACATTTCTTGATGACAAATGTTTTGTGGGTTTGGCAACATGAGAAACTATGATGTATCTCATTCAAGTACACGTGGTGACCTCACAGTGTCACTTGGCCTTCTCTTTGAGCATGAGTTATGTGGAACTGACTATTGTGGTCTTCATTATATGGCATTTAGGAAGATCTTGACCACCTTAATTTCAATAAATCACCCACTTGTCCATCATAGGCAGTACGGGGGGTTCCTGGTGCTCGGTGAGGAATTACTATGTGATCTGAGGGTCCCATCGTAATTTTGCGATTCTGATATACCCTTATCTTCTGTTGGGAACCTGATGCAAGAAGAAGAAGAAATAGAGGGGGGAGAAATCTCAATAATAATTCATGAAAAGTAACTTCACAATGTATCAATCACCCATATAGGCATAACAATAGATTCTAATAGGAAACATAAATCCTTAAGGAAAGTAAAATATAAGTGGTCGTATTATGTTGTGACCAACATCATAATCCTCTTCCTGACTTGTGGGTTTCCTTAGCTTGGTGGCTTGACTAAGCCAGCACGGTGTGCTGTCAACCAAGTACATGATATGTACACGGTTATCACTTTTCAGGTGAACCTCAACTAACTGGCATGGCAAGTATACATATAAATAGTGGTCATTTTCCAAGCAATTTTTTCTTATAGGAGAGGATCATTGCATGTTCTATGCCAAACTAACATTTGGCTATTTTAACCTCATCTCCAGTACTCCCATCCACAGCATTCGAGGATCCGTTCACCATACTGTAAATTTTTGAATACTTTGCCCACATTAGTAACACATTCAAATTTTAATCTATTTTTTACCACCTTATGGGTCATATTAAGTATATTGTGTATTAATTCTTTTTTTCAATAATACTTAACAATAGGTTTTCATGCTCTCTTCTCTCTCTCTCTCTCTCTCTCTCTCTCCACCCCTGTCCTTTTCAGTACATTTTTAACTGTTTTTGCAGTGCCAATAGAATTTGATTCAAATAACTGGTTGAAATTGGAAATGAAGCAGAGTTTTTTCAGTGTCAAGTGAATAAAACCTATTAAACTAGTGATGCTGATTGATATTAAATTTACATGGAGGAATTATTTTGACAGGTGGACATGGTTGGCATATGTTGAATACAACTCATATAAAATTCCGCTCCTTTCAACCCCCCCCTCTAACACAATTTGAGTTGTATTTATTTTTTGTTATTTTTTTAAATCAACTTTTTTGTAATGTGAATTGCATGGTAGGTCAATGTTTGGGATGGGGTAGGTATTCTGTATGTTTCAAGATGTCAATTTAACATGCTCTTATTTATACCAGAAAGAAAATTGTGACCGTTGTTTAGACAAGTTTTGGTTCCACATTCGCAGCTTCTTTCTTTCACCCCTCCAGTTCCACATTAGTTCTTCCAATATGGGGTGTATAACTCTCTTTTTATTCAAGTACTACATTTTAGGCTTGTCAACTATCTGCTTCATTATCTGTTGGGAGTTCCAGGGTTATTATTAGTTTTTCTTTTTTCCTTTAGATTTCAGGAACTTTTCCATTTCCAGGTCTTCTGAAACAACATACTATAAGGAAATATTATTGTTCGATCACATTGAACACAATACATGGTGGACTATTTGATGTTGTGAAGAAATACACATGAAAGCTTCAGAGTGTTATTTATGTATTTTTTTGGGGTGGTCATCATGCACTTCTATTTTTGGAAGGTGTATATTAAGGTTAATTAGGCCAAGATAGGCTTTTAGTGACAAGAAAATAAGAATTAGCTGCAACTGTGGCAGTTATCTTTTAGAATTTATTGAATTCCTTTATTCGAACTGAAGGAAATAATTATATGAAAATCTCCATGCTGGAAAGGAGTTTATTATGTGTTTCTGATTTGCTACTACTTCTTTGTCTTCTTCCTCGTTTCACATTTTCTTTGTTGCTTAACAATTCATTGAAAATATAATTTTAGCTTCTTGAATTTTCAAGGTTGAAAGCTGGAAATGTCATTTTCAACTACCGGTACTTTGACAATAAGCTGCAGAGGACTGAAGGTATACGGATGCTCTTGTTTACATCTTCTTTTTTTCCTCCCTTTTTTGTGGTATTAGCAAGTAATCTTTCTTTTTTCACTTTTGGCTGGTTTCTTATTTGTTTATAATGTTAAGTTTTAATCAAGTTCTAACATCTGTGGAACAGAAGTTTTAATATCATACCTAGGTGATTGGTTCTTCCCAAGAAATCTGTGGTTTAGGCATACTGCATGTCCCGTTCTCCTCTGGGAAAATAACATCTGTATAAATAAATATATCATAAGAGGATGATAAAGTAGATGGAAAACTAATTCTGACAGTAGAAGTCCAGACAGCGAATATTGTCTTTGTATTAAACTCACACTTCATAACTTTTCTGGTTCCTTTTTTTTTTTTTTGGTGTTTGTGTGGGGGGTAAGTAACTAACACTTTATATCAATTCATCCAATCTCATAGCAGTAAAGGTTTTGTGCCTTTACATTTTGCCTAGTTGCTTGGCTGGTATACAATAGCATCTGTAGAGACATGTTGCTATGTTTGTACTGTTTAGAGTTCATCATATTCAGTATTCACCCTCAAACTGCCCTCATGAATGGAATGCCTTGACTAAGGTAAAAAGGCAATTCTTTGCTGAGATCCATTATTTTGTGCTGGTTTATTTCGAATTAAGTGATGTTTGAACATTCTACTGGGACCTAGTGAACCTAGGAGTTCTAAGTGGTGAAGAATATCAAATTATTCTGAACGGTCAAAAACATCTTTTTTTTTTTTTTTTTGGATAAGTAATAATAAATTAAAAAAGGCGTTCAATAGGGGAACGCGTCCCGTAGACATAAAAGAAACCGGGGTCTAAGGCCCCAAAGAATCCAAAAAAGAAATTAAATCAACAGAAGAGGAACACGAACTTATGTTCACATAACAAAAAAGAGAACGAATAATAAAAAGTTTTAGTGTCGTAGACGACTCCTTCCCTTCAAACATTCTACTATTTCGCTCCTTCAAGATGCACCACCAAATACAATGTGGTACAGATCTCCAATAAGCACTCACACTCCTACTCACACGACAACCTCTCCAAGCATAAATTAGCTCCTTAGTAGAGCGTGGCATAACCCAACACATGCCAAATAGGCCAAGAATGATATTCCAGCAATCGTGCGCTACAGAGCAATGCATTAGGAGATGATCGACTAACTCCCCATCCTGCTTACATAAACAACACCAATTAACAAGAAAGTTTCCCCTTTTCCTCAGATTATCGATCGTCAGAATCTTACCCCAAACAGCAGTCCATACAAAGAATGCCACCCTAGTAGGAACCATAGAACACCAAATAGTCTTCCATGGAAAATCATAGGATGCAAAATTAGATAGACATAAGAACAAAGACCTTACTGCAAAACGCCTGTCAGAGGAGGGAATCCAAATCAAATTGTCATAACCCCTGCCAATTCTTTCTTGCCGATACAATTGATCTAAGAAAATGCTCACCTCTTCCAACTCCCAATCCTGAAATGAACGCCGAAAATGAACATTCCACGTAATCCCACTATTATCAAGCTGATAACAGTTAGCTACTATGGCATGTTTATCAACTGCAATACTATATAATATGGGAAATTTACGACATAAAGGCTGGTTCCCACACCAAAGATCATCCTAAAAACGAACACAACTACCATCACGAACTCTGAATTTGATATGAGAGGAAAAGGAATCCCATCCTTTCCGAATGGACTTCTAAGCCCGAACTCCTCCCGCAATAGAAACCGGACGTGTAGTCCATCTGCCAACATCTTCCCCATACCTGCAAGATACTAATCTGCGCCAAGGACGATGTCTTTCCTTCCTATATCTTCACAACCACTTGCCTAGAAGAGCTTGATTAAAAGGAATCAATCGTCTAATACCGAGACCCCCCAATTTTATAGGCTTGCATACTTGCTCCCATCTAACAAGATGATACTTGAACTCATCTCCCCTTCCTCCCCAAAGGAAATACCTTTTAATTTGTTCAATTCTATCAGCATGGAATTTGGAACAAAGAAAGAAAATAAGTGGGAAGGCTTGATATAGTGCTCTTGATAAGAGTTACTTTACCCCCTTTAGATAAATATTGCCTCTTCCAACCTGCCAACCTTTTTACATATCTATCAAGCACAGAATCCCAACTCCCCACTAACTTGGAAGAAACCCCTAGGGGCAATCCCAAATAAGGGATAGGAAATGAGCTCACCCTGCACCTAAGAACTGCAGCTAAATAAGAGATGTCCTGTACATTCCTAACTGGGACAAGCACACTCTTGGCCACATTCACCTTTAACCCGGAAACTGCCTGAAAGCAAGCCAGAATGCATCTCAAATATCTAAGTTGAGACACATCTGCATCACAGCAAACCAGAGTGTCATCTGCAAATAGTAGATGTGAAATCTCCACCTGATTGTCAATATCTCTTCCCACCCGGAATTCCTTAATGAGACCAAGATTCTTTACCTGGCGCATGAGTCTGCTTAAGCCCTTCATAACAATAAGAAAAAGAAAAGATGACAATGGGTCACCTTATCTTATACCCCGAGAGCACCTGAAAAAACCAGCTAGAGAACTATTCACAAGAATTGAGAACTTGATAGACGAAAGACATGTCTCAATCCATGTCTTTCGTCTACTTCCAAACCCCATTCTTTTAAGCCAGTAGAGAAGGAAATTCCAGTTAACATGATCATAAGCTTTCTTAATATCAAGTTTGCATAGAACTCCAGGAACACCACTACGCAACCTTGAATCCACACATTCACCAGCAATAAGAACTGAATCAAGAATTTGCCGTTCTCCAACAAAGGCATTCTGGGAATCTGAAATAATCCCATCCATAACTTCTCTCATTCTATGAGCAAGCACCTTAGCTATGAGTTTGTAAATATAACCCACTAAGCTAATAGGACGAAAGTCCTTAATAACTGAAGCATTTCCCTTCTTAGGGATAAGGGCAATAAATGATGCATTAAGCAATTTTTCAAAAACACCAGTAGAATGAAACTCCTGAAAGGTACTCATCACTTCATTTCTCACAACTGCCCAACTTTCCATCAAAAAGCGCATAGTGAACCCGTTTGGCCCCAGGGCTTTATCCCCATTACAATTGGATAAGGCCTGAAGAACTTTTTCTTCAGTAAAAGGAAGCTCTAACCCATCACTCTCCAGTACAGAAATAGCCTCAAAAGGAAGACCATCAAGCTTAGGTCTCCCACCTAAAGGTTCTGTGTAGAGCTTCTGATAAAAAGAAACGATCCCGCTGCACACCTCTTCCTCCTTCCACAACTCCATGCCTTCAACCCGTCGACGTCCTATATGATTGCTTCTTCTGTGAGCATTAGCAAATCTGTGGAAAAATTTTGTATTACGATCTCTCTCTTTCAACCAAAGAGCCCGGGATTTTTGTCGCCACGAAATCTCCTCCATACAAGCAATCTCAGTAAGAAATGCCTGACAGGAAGCTCCCCTAGTAGAAAGAGACTCCATATTCCCACCCGCCTCCTCAAGCCGATCAATCTCAGAAAAATCAGTAAAGACTCTATTCTTCCTCTATTCAAGATTCTCAAAGACATCCTTATTCCACTGCTTAAGAGCGAGTTTGAGAGCTCTTAATTTCTGTGTTAATATGAAGCTGGGCGCACTTGTAACGATCGCTCCCTCCCACCAAGAACGAACTGTCCTTGAAAGTCCTCCACTCTCAGCCACATATTCTCGAAACGGAATGGGGTTTTTCTAGAAAACAAACCCCCACAATCCAAAACTAAAGGAACATGATCAGGGGTAACCCTTTCTAAGACCGCCTGAACAATATCTGGGAATTTTTCTTCCCACTCCCCAGAGATAAAAAATCTGTCCAATCTTGAGAGAGTAACTGGGTCTCTACCATTAGACCAGGTATAGGTTGCACCTTCCATTGGTAGATCAATGAGAAAGTGCTCATCAATGAAGTTGGAAAACTGATCCATGTCTATGGACCTTCTTCCCCAAGTAGACCTCTCTGACGGGAACCTGACTGAATTGAAATCCCCACCCAAACACCATGGTAAAGAGCATAGTCCTTGAACGTGGCTTAGTTCCTCCCAAAAAATAGATCTCTCAGCATCATCGACCGGTCCATAGGCCCCAGAAAAAACCCATCTGAAATTATCCTCTTCCATCTTAAACTCACAGGAAACAGAAAATCTCCCCTTCCACACATTCATTCTGGACAACCACCTGCTATTCCGCATAACTAAAATACCACCCGAAGAACCTGTAGCATCCAAGGCCTCCCATTCCACAAACCTTCCTCCCCACAAACTTCTAACCACTCCGTCTGTAATGGATGCCATCTTGGTTTCTTGCAAACAAACAACTTGGGCCCCCCATTTCCTTAAAGCTACCTTCACCACTCTCCTTTTATTCGGGTCATTGAGACCACGAACATTCCATGTAATGATTCGTAGCTTTATTAAAAACCAGTTGAGATTAACTCCCCTCCCCCTTTCTTCAAACTCCTACTCCTAGTCCTGCCCCTTTCCATCACCATGCCTTTCTTCTTGTCGTAATTGACATCAGAGATGAGATTCTTAATCTCGTGAATCCCTTTCCAAGACGATATGGGCTTAGTGTTTATAACTTCATTAGTGACTGCTATCTCAGTTCCAGTCACAATTGCTCGAAGAAGAGATAAAGTCTGAGCATTATTACCTTCTGAAGAAACTCTCAACAACTCATTAGTAGTTCCAATGTTATCAACCACCCAATCCCTCCCCAAATCAGTAACCTCATCATCAGGTCTCACCACTGCCAGGGGTTCCACCACTGATATGTTTGAGTCATCCTTTAGCCAAGGTTGAAGCTCAGAAAAGCAGACCTGTTGGATAGATCCCAAGTCATCAGCCACCTCCTCTTCAGTCTTTCTATCATACTCATAACCAGAACCTGAATCTGTAACATAATCACCGAATCCAACAATACTACCAACCTCATTCTCCTCATCCGTTGC